AGTTGCATTAATGACCCCTTCATAATGATGATAAAAGGTGTAAACTTGAATAATTCTGCTGACTAGTTGAGCACTTAATGTTCAGGCTGGGTTTTTGGTGCCTTTGTATTGATATTTTTCTCAGGGAAAGGATTTTTCATCAATTTTAAAAATCTTTGTAAATTCCTATGAAAGTTTAATTCAGGCGACTTGATACGGCATCAGTTTAGGTCTGTCGACAGTTGCTAGATCTTCAGGATTGAGAATCAAATCCAAAACTCCGATGCCAATTCAATAAGCATTGCAACGATACAAAGGTTTTAAAAATATCAAAAACCGAAATTCCGACATTGTCTAATGGCTAGGATAACAAGACTAAAAGGTGAGTCGTTATCATCAGATAAATTTAATCCATTGAGTCACATCATTTTACTTGCTTCCTTCCTTGAGCTTTACAAACTAACCTTCGAACCTTTTAGTCAAAGATATTGATCACTCTCAGCTAAATATGACGACACAGTTTAATCTGTTAATACAAAAGAACGCCAATTGAGGTGTAACAATGATTGATAATAACTTCTAAATTGGTGAACTGAATGAATAAAAGGGGTTCAATTTTTAATTTTTGAAACTTTGATGTTAGCTTCTTGCAATTCAACTTCACAACTCCGTACAGCACAAGAAGGGTAAACTGAAGCATTTCGTTTTGTTTTTTGCTTTCGTTTATTCCTTCGTTGTTTTTAGCAACAAAAGTCTCATCATTTTTGCTAAAATTTTCACTTCGCTCTAAAATAAATGTTACTAATGAATTTTTAAGTCTTTCTCGTTGTCTTAAGCAAATTATGCAAATAATAGAATGATATTCATTTCAAGAGAACAGATAATTGTTCTAAATTGCCTCGAGCTAATTGTCCTTTCTATCATTATTTTTCATGATTAAATAAAGAAAAAGAAAAATACAGAGAAATGGAAATTAAATTAAGGACAAAGTAAAGAAACATTTGTTTATTTGGTCAATCTTTTAATTTAAATTTTAAAATCAAAAAGAAGCTGAAACACAATATCGATCTTTCTATATCAGAAATAGCCACTTTTTGGAGCAATCATTGAATTAAATTAAATGTCATCTTTTTCCTTGATTTGATTAAAAGATGGGTTCGTCTCTCAACCGTTTCAACCGATAGCATCTTGACTTGAGATAATGTTAAAAACATAATAAGGCTTGTTTGGACATCAAGTTGTCATGAAATGTTGTAAACTTGTTTCATTATAATCATCATCTTTCACCATCAAGTTTCATTCACAAGGCAAACTTCCCACCAAACCATAGTCGACCTCAACCTACCACACAGTAGATGATCAGTATCATACGGAAGGTAAATTAGTATCAAATTAAATTGACAAGTTAAATAATGGTTTGCCAGTAAGAAAAAAAGAGGTTCCTAATGAATAATTTAATGAAATTAATTAATCATTTAACTGTTAAACAAGTTTAATGGACAAGATTGCGGCAAATTTTGAAAAATGTGCTCAAAAGTATCTTGCAATTATCATCAAGTAAACTGTCTTTTGGGTGCAATAAGTTTAATGATACAATTAGGTTCATTTTGTTGATATTAATAGCTAAATCACTTTACGTTGTTCAACAGCAATTGGCAAAAGTGAAGTTGGTCATTTCAGTTTCATTCAGTTTCTACTTTGATTCATCCATTGTTAATCTAATATGATGAGTTTCAGTAAACTTCAATGGATTGTTAATCATGATTAAAGCCGAGAAAACTGTTTCTTTAGAAAACATTATTTTTCTGTTCTTTTACTATTCAATTGTTGCAGATGCAAATAATGATGATTATTGGGTGATAATGAAGTGAATAAGAATAGTCATTTGAGAAGAAGGTTCATCAAATTGAAAGCTTTGCTCTGCTTGATGAACATCATGATAGTTGAGAAAAAAGGAAACTTTTTATTCCTAATTTACCGAGAAAATAAACATTGTAAGTCCATTGATATTGAAATGGTGTGAAATGGTTGATGATTAAAGATGAACAAATATTAGTGATAAAATCAAATTTTTATGGGTAAACATAATTTGTTGGTGAAAAGCATGAAAGTGTTCAAGTGGAAATAATCATTGTAATCCTTTCTCTCTCTGTGTGTTTAGTCGCGACAACAATGATTACAGGTTATAATGTGATATCAGGTATGCAAAAATCTGCATAAAAAAGCAATAACGTTCTTTGTGTGTCTTTGACTCTCTTTTAACCTTGTTTACGCTTTCTGTAAGTAATCATTGAGTTAAGGTTCAGTTTGATATTGATTAGTCTTTAAAGTTGCCCAGCTTTTTAGTTTAAATAATAAATTTTTAAATTCATTTCTTCTTCCATAATGTACGAGTTCGACCTAAAAACTGATTGAAAGGTAAAAGTCAGAACTTGATTAAAATTGAAATTTTTTTCCGTCCAATCTTGTTCTTGTCCAAAAACTCACAAACTCCTTCATCTTTATATTCAATATTTGTGATTAAACTTTTTGTTTCAAAAACTCAACTTCTTTCACTTTTTAACAGTCTTGTAAAGTCCAGGTTTGGGGCAAACTTAGGAAATTGTGTGAGCAATTCTTGCCGTCATTTACCTCACAATCAATAGTGCCATTGAGTCGATATATCGCATCGAATTCACATGAGCACTTTTAACTTTCTTCAAGGAATGTCTATTTAACAGAAATCATTATCTAACAAGCGAGTTGAGTCTTTGCGGCATTTTGATGAAGTTCAATTCTGATTGCGTTTGGATGAAAAATTTAACTTTTCAATTCATTTTTCTTCTTGAAATTAAATTTTGTTTGCTGATTTTTTCCCTTGAAAACTGTAAAAATTATTGCTACTTTTCTTGAACTAAATTGTATTATATTATTCAAGTTTTAATAATTAAATCTTGATATTTGGTATACATTATGAATCGAAAGAAAAGTTGCTCATTTTTCATCATTTCATGAGCTTCTGCTGAAAATGCAATAAAGTGAATGGAAAAATTGAATTTGCATATTTTGTTCTCTTTTCACGATAAAATTTTGTAAAATGAATTAACTTTTCATGTAAAAAGTTTACACTCATTTCTATGATAAAAGTTCACCTTTCAAAAAAAGATAAACTTTTCTTTGGCAAATTACAATAAAACTATCATGCTTAATTAACGCAATTAATTATTTTAAAAGTTTCCTTTTAATGGAGTAATTTGGTGTGTTTGATAAAAAATGATTAGCAATGATGAGAAGATGATGAGGAATGATGAGACACGGAAAATAATGAAAAGGTGAAAAGTGATGCTAATAATCTGACCATGATACTGTAGTTAATAAGCAATAGCAAAGGTTAACAACTGTTTTGAGCAGGTGATGAACTGCACATTGATATGTCCATTTGAAGGTTGAGTTTCATTTGAAAATTGATTAAACGTTTTTAACCAGTCGCTTTGTTCATCACTGGTTCCTCTGTTGACACTCAATGAGCTTTCCAAGTGAGAGTGGTGGCGATGATAATGAGAATGATAAAGCAAGTAATATTATGATCATGTCAAAGATAAGTTGATGAAGGGAAAAGTCGAGGCTGACTAACAACAAAACACAGTGAATAAGGTTACAGAAGACAGATGATTGTGAATGGTGATGATGATAACAGAAGCAATGAGGATAATAAGGAAGCTTCAAGATAACCAAAAAACACTAGCAAAAAAGGTTACACTGTAATTAATGAATGGTTATTTGGGAAGCAAAAATTTTGTCTCAATTTTACGCTTCTCTTTGGACCAGTCTTTACACCCCGTAAGATGGAAGGGAAAGTGTTTCTTGCTTCTCTCTTTTTTTTGTGTTGGTTGAATACAATTTGCATATTAATGTGACACAAACAAAGGGAACGATAATGTGCTACAAGTTTGTAAGATGCTGTTTGTTCACCTTGAATCATCATGAGTGTTTCAGAACAAAGTTTCAATGTCAAACCTTTTTTGCACTTTCATCATGATGATCTGATAAAGTCAACCTAAATGTGTCTTGCAAAGAAATTTTTCTTCAAGAAAAGTTTACAACATAATTCATGACAATGAGATGAGAATCAGGAAATCTCCTTCTTAGCAAAAAGTTTTTATTATATTTACTTTGAAATTTCTTGATATTTCAGTGGAGTGTTTAGTCAAATTCAGAAGAGATTGGCCAGAGAGAATTCATTTAGCATTTAGACTTTGAATTTATCTCAACGATAAGTTCATACAGAAATGAAAAGGTGGATGGTTGAGGTTGAATTTTCCTGAAGATTCTGTGATTATCATGTGCATTGAGTGTTCAGAGTTTGGAAATAAGAGGAAAAAAAGAAGCAAAAAAAAATCGATAAAAGAGGCTGACTGATCTCCTAAGTTGATGCTAGATGGTGAATCAAGTCGGTTCAACATTTGCTTCAACTCGGCTTGTTACGAGGAAAAGACTTTGCAATGAACAAAAGTCTAATTAAATGCAAACATGAAGATTAATTTAAATATCATTCAATGTTGTTCCTAATAAATGAACTTATTTTTTGCATTTCCATGAAAAGAGGAGAAGGAAGAAGAAAATTTCTTTTTTTTGTGTTCAATTCATTACTTTTTCACTATAGGTAATCTATTTATAGGTTATTTCACCTATAAGTCTATAGAGCCTTATGCAGATTATTTGAAAATATTTTTCATCATTTTGATTCAATATTTCATTCCAATATTTCATTTTGATTTTTGAAAAATTCATCAAATAAGCAATCAAGTTGAGACTTTTTCTGAGGTAAAATTGTGAGGTTTTACGGACTTGCTTTGTGACTCTGCTTGCAAAGTTTACTTGCTGTTGAAATGTTATCGATTCATTCAAATGGAATCAGATGATGAGTTAGAGAAAGGATTGTGCCATGTCAATCATTGGCATCGAGTTTGGGTCAAGAGATCAAGAGTTGCTCAATTTGAAAAGGACAAGAGTTTTTGAAAACGAGATCAACTCGAACTTACCTGATTGAAGTTGGTCAATTGTCACTTTTCAGTTGACATCTATTTAAACACAAATATTTTTCTATTTTTTGCACTTTTCACGAGCTTTTTTGTATTCAAAGACAATTATTCAAATTTAACAAATCATTTGGTCAAGAAAATGGTCAACTTTGGCTTAATCAAGATCGACTTTGAACACTTTGCACTACAACTTTTGTGAACATAAAATGAACTACTCGATGATATAAATCCACAATTTTTCTCTTTTCTTGTGATTTGATTCCTCTTCGGTTAAATGGACAATCTATTTGCCTTATCGATTCAAAAACCAAACGAAAGTTTAACGATAGTCAAGTACAGTCAACACTGACTAACAAGATAGACTAACTTGAATTTGTATCGTCTTACTCGTTCTTAATATTCAATTACAACTGACTTTTTTACTCAATGTAATGACATCTTTGGGTTTTTCAACAAACTACAGAAAAGGCCGCTTCATTGATGAAAGTATTTTGAACAGTTTGTAATAGCAAAGGTTACAAGGCTTTAATTAGCTGACCTGAGTCAATTAGTGAGTGAATGATTCGAGAACAGAATCACTTCTCAAGATGATTCGATTGGTGTGAGTATTTTTAAGTATAGTAACATTATACACGGGATACGGCACTTGAGCTGACTTCGATACCTGAACTTCAGAAATTTCTGAATCTCTTAAGCTTTTATGTAACCGTGAGCACCATCTTTTGGTGTTTTATTGAGTTTTGGTCTTGAACCAGATGTGACTACTTGTGCCATCTAGTGAGTACCCAATCATTTAGAATATTGACAGTTCGATTAGTCAATATTTGTTTCTTAATAAAATTGATTTAAACATGTTATGATCAGCTGATTTTCATTTCCGTATTTAAATATTCTAGTGGCTCTGTATTGTCATCGAAGTCGCTTGCGATTGTCCCATCGAAAATCACCTACACTCATGGCTAAAGGTTCTCTTGGTTAAAAATTATGGTCTATCGAATCAACAATTTGATTCGGATTGAATTTTATGGCTTGATATCTGTCGATTTGTATTTGTTTATTTGTTAATTTGGTCAATTGTGGTATTGTTGTGGTTGGTTTATGATCTCATTTATGCTTATTTATAATGTAGAGTGATTTTCTCAAAATCTTTGGACCTGATCTCTTTTTCCTTGAAACCTTTGATCGGTGTAAAAATGAATTTGATTGTTGCTTTGTTAATTGTGATTTGTGCATTTATTTGCAATGCTCAAGAGGGCTCTATCTACATTAATGAGCTGCCCTTGAATTCAAAATCCACAGGCTTTTATACCATTGAAGGAAGAGTTTTTCCAGCTCCGAATGTTTCTATAACCCCATCTTGGTTCACATCTACAAGGATTATTGTAAACTATGGCCAATTCCTTGCTTTTATGAGGTAATCAATAATTGTTTTTTGATTCGTCATTATTGATTTATTCTGTTCTACTTTTCAGAAAGGATGGTAGTTTTGAGATAAACCAAGTACCTTCTGGATCTTATTTGGTAGAAGTCACTAATCCAGATCTTTTTTATAAGCCAACAAGGGTTGATATTAATTCAAAAGGTAAAATTCGTGCTCGGAAAGTGAATTACATTCAAAGCTCAGCTGTTCAGCAAATCAGCTATCCATTAAAATATCGACCTCAATCTCCATTTAAATATTTCCAAACAAGAGAAACTTGGAGAATTACCGACTTTCTATTCAATCCAATGGTGTTAATGATGGTCTTACCTTTAGTTTTAATAATGGTTTTACCCAAAATGATGAATGCAGCTGATGTTGAAACACAGCGTGTAAGTATTTAATTTAAGTATTAAATTTAACCCGAAATAGCTTATTAATTTTTTGCATTTTATTTGCCAAAATCAAAAGGAGCTGAACAATAAACAAATTCCCAAATATGATGTTCCAGAATTATCCGAAATGATGACAAACTGGTTCAGCGGAGGGGCTTCTGGTCTCAATAAGCCTGAATCACCCGGACTCAAGGCCAATAAATTGCTAAGAAAAAGATAGTTTAACAAATTAGAATATTGATTCAATAATTGATCAATTTCCTAGCCCAGCATTTTTCATATTTGTCTTTCAATCATCAATATTAAATCTGTCAAATCATTTTTAATGCTAATGATTTCTTCAATAATTTTTAAAGTAATTTATATTCCATCAAATGTCTAGAATTAATGAGTCAAAAGAGACGCAAAAACTAGATAATTAAAGATAATCAAATCGCAAATTCGAGTTAAATTCAGCAAAGAGACAAATAGTTAAAAAAAATGCCATTTGTTTGAAATAATATTAACCTGGGGCAAGTATGATTACAATTAGCATTGTTAAGGAAAAAGAAGTTGAAATAGATCCTGAATTTAGAAATTTTTCCTCGGCTAACTGTGACTACTAGCATCGTGACAAGTCGTTAAATCACTATAATTAATGAGTTAGTTCCCAAATTATCAGATTGGAAAGTGCATGTTTTACCAGAGTAATATGGACAAATAGCAAGAAAAGATGAGAGAAAGAGGAAAAAAGTGTTTAAATGATTAAAAAATTAAAATGTTCAAATTGTCGAAAGCAAAATTACGACTAGAAAGTGTATTTCTAAATATGCTTGTTTAATTTGATACAATGGGGAATATTGAATACAATCAACATTAACATATATCTTAAAATTTCAAAATAATGATTTCGTCTTGATTGTTAAGTATCATTCGTCATTTATATTAAATTAAGTCTCACAGTCAACAATTGTCATAATCAACAAAGAAATTGTCTTTTAACAACAAAAATCTAGGAAAGGTAAAATTGTTAACCATTATTAGGGTATCATTTAATTTCCTTTGCATTCTTGTCATTGATATTTTAAATAATAGATAGCATTCAAGGTTGGATATTAAATGCTTTGAAAGAGCATTTAACATGAGTGAATAAAGAGTAATTTAAAATAGCAATTACAGAGTCATTAAATCATTTAATCTCTAAATCTTTGGATATTTGGTTGTCAGTATTTTCCAATCATTGATAAAATATAACTTTGTCCTCCAAAATGTAACAGGGTTATCTTGATTTATGCGAGATGGAAAGTAACCGTTGTTGGTCTGGTAATTACAAAATATCAATCTAGGAAAAAAACAGTCTAAAATAAAAATTAAATCTCAACAATTATTACAATATAAAGTTAGTGTTGCTAAGTTGAAATAAAAAATATGGCAAGGTAAAAATCTCATAGATTAAATAACGATATTTTATAGAGGAGTTCATTCTTGAAGGGCTTCAATGAGTCTTGATAGACAGACATTAGCCCCTTGATTTGCTTTATCACTTATGGTTGTCATATTGAGGAATCCGTGGGGTAAATCAGGAATAATGTCAACTTTAACTTTTCCTTTCCAGATTTTAGCGTATTCAAGAGCCATATCCAGAAATGGATCAAATTGGCCAGTAATTAAGTATATTGACAAGTCATCAAGGCTATTTATATCATAGCAAACCATTGGTGAGATATAAGGTGCCATGGAATCAGTCAAGATCTTGGAGCTTCGTTGAGTAAATGCATTCTTGTCACAATTGTACCAATTTTTATCAGAGTTAAACCATGTATTGTAAAAGCGTTCCCATAATGAATCTTTAGAGTAACGATTAGGAGTATTGTTGTTGTTTTTATCTTGATCATAATTTAAATTTCTTTTGCTTTCTGATGAAACGGAGCCTTCATCTGAAGGTTCATCGTAACTTGAACATGGTTCACAGTCTGAATCAAAAGTAATTCCCGAGGCATACAATGACATTCCTTGATAAACAGTATTGAGGTTGAGAAAAGCGTCCATAAATCCCAAAATTAAGGAAGGTATTTTACCTTCATGATTGAATGAAAGAATTGGATAAAAACTAACCAAGGAAGTTGGGAAAATCCAAACTGAATTTGGTGAAATTTTTTGAATATCTCTAAGAACCGCGGAAAGGGTGAAAAGGAGATAAGCTCCACCAGAATCACCACTAAAGATTATCTTGCGAGGAGTAAAGCCAAGAGTTTTAGTAACTTGTTCTGATTTAGAAGTCACCCAGAGGTATGCGTCCAGAATCTCTTGGAGAGCAACAGGATAACGAACACAGCGTGTATAATCAACATCCATTATGACGGCACCGTTCAATTGTGGCACCCATTCCATGAGATATGTATCAGAGAATTGAGGAACATCAACGACAAACGCTCCACCTCGCACATGGAATATTAAATCTCCTGATGGTTGGCAATCAGTGTAACTCATCAAACGACATGTACCAAAATTATTGCTCCTAACTGGTGTAACATCTGGACAAAAAGTTACCCGACCACCTCCAGATTTTGGGATGATCCAATCTGTCTGTCTTGGTATGGACAACTTTTTGATCAAAGTTCGATGATAGATTGAATGTAGAGTTGACAGAACAGAAGTGAACGGATTATTAACACAATTTAACATAGTAAGAGGGAAAAAAGCATTTGCCTGGTAAAGTAAATTGACCATTCTAGATCCATGGGAATTTCGTGAAATTAAGGTGGACAAAGAACCAGGAAAACCAGATACTAAACCAACGAAAAGAGCGTACAGGCGAAGTGCATACCGAACATTAGACTCGATGTAAAATAGAGAAAAGTAGCCCCAATAGCATTTGAGATTGTCATGAAGATGAGATTTAGAAGATATGAAATTATGAAGATGCCAGCTTGTTGAAGTGGAAGTTGGTGGTTTTAATTTATTAGTGTGAAGAGCTACAACCATAGAACATAGTTTAACTAATAAGCTGGTCATTTCAATCAATGGTTCTACAGGAATATTTGATGATAGTAGATATTCTTTAACTATTGGAACAAAACGGTCAGTCATTTCAAGTAAAGTTCGACATCCATTGAATTTAAGATCCCCATAGTCGTAAAGGTGGGCAAAATCTTCAATCTGTTGAGTTAATTCACACAACTGAGACAGATTGTCCATCAACCTGTCCGGAACATCTTTAAACAAACTGGAATTTAAAGTCGCTAATAATTGTGGGATTCGAGTAGCCTTCATGATAATACAGAAAGATGATTTTTAAAATATGGTCCAAATATTGCAGGATGGGAAGTCGATTAAAACAAGAAATATTTCAAATCAGAAGGCCAAATTTTAATCCAAAATGGAAAGGTCAGATCGTGAAGTATCAACAATAACACTGTTCGGTCAGCACTAAAAATAATCACAAGAAATAAACATAATTGGAGTAATATTTATATTACAGTTAAGTCTATGTGGTTTTTACAACTGGAGAAAAGCTTTAATTTTGTTTCAAAAAAGCGAGTTTCAACTATGAGTATTTACGTCAAAGAGCCATCTACTGGTTGTTATACCCGTTGGGCAACTTTTTGGTGGCAACACTAGATAAAGGTTTATGTAAACAGAGGATAAAATGTTGAACCACTTAATTAAATGTTATCCGTTTTGACTTGAACCACACAAATTATTTGCACAATTAAATCAAGTTGAACCAGAGTTGATGGTTATTGAAGCTTCGATATTGATTGCCCAACAATCGGGATGAAATGAAAATCTGAAATGAAACCGACAGTGAAGATAACAGTTATTCAAGTGAAAAGATCGGGTGATTTGGTATCAGATATTGATAAATAAGTACATGTATTGAATTATGATCGTACGATTGATGTAATGGCGTTACTTATATTTCACAATACAAATATTAACAAGTTGATGAAAATGACAATTGATTTAAATGTAAAATTGAAAAATGTTTAACATCAATCAACTCTGTGGTTAAATAAAGAGGCTTAGGGAGATTAAACTAAGCTAGAAATGTATACACAAACTGTACGGTAGAGTTCATTTAAGAGGTTGTTGATTTGTATTTTGATTATTATTTACTTAAATTGGAGAGTGCTAACAATCGTTGGTTAAAACACAAACAATTTGCTATTAATAGTGTAAAATTCAAGGATTGGAATGAAAATGAATATTTTTTAGTCGATAAACGTTACAAAAAATTCAAGTGAAACTGACAGGAAAATATGGCTCATTTCAACTAGGATTCACACTTTGTAATAATAGTAATAAAGACTCAAATACACAGGATGGCAAAATGTTTGATTAAAGTAAAAAATTATAACATGAGAATAAAATACGTAAAAATACCTTGAATTGTAACCTCCAATTTGCGGATCTCCTTGGATGACGCGTATCTTGTCTCTATTGAATTATTCGGATATTTCAATATCAGTTAATAAGCCATAATCAGTATAAGACGATCATTAAAAGATAAACGTTAAAGTCAATGATAATTGTGAATTTAGATTCTGATTTCATCAAACTATTTATGATCAATGATTAAGCTTTAATGGTGACACTTTGAGTTTACTGGTAAAACTCAATTACCATTAGAATCCAATGTGCATTTATTTATATCTGTATAATCACTTTATCTCTGATTGATTGTATCAAACTAAATTGTAACAATTGTTATCAAGGATCATAAATATTGACGGAAAGGTGAACACATTAACAAGTAAATTCAATCCAAGCTGCTGTGAACTAACTGTAACAATCCATAAAGATATAAAATAAAAGGTAAAGAAGACACTCGGAAGATTATTGAAGCTATCAGTGTTAACAAGTCAAAATCACCTGAGGTTGGCAAGTTGCTATTGGTGAAAGGTAAGATCAGGCCACTTTTAGTGGTTCCTCCACTCCTCTAACCGATCAGGTCATTGGGCTGACTCTGAACCATTTTACCGTTTAAAAAGCCATAAAACAGTACAAGACAGTAATGAATGAGAAACCAGAAAAATTGATTGAAAAAAATATCTAATCATCATACAATACTCTTACAACAGCAGTATTGTTGAAAGTTGACAATTTAGACAATGGTTAATTCGCATAATTTATTGAAATGGTTTGTTTTGTGATTTAGGTTTTTTGGTTATTTATCATTGTATTCTAATCGTTTTGGCTAATTTGCAATTTCTGTAAATTATGAATATCAGATTTTGTATAAATATTCATTGTTGGCTATAACTTGCATTGTCTTCTGGCTGTGTTTAACTAACCAACAGATATGTTTTGTTGTTCTTGTTCATCAGACTGACTTGATGAGTGACTTTTGGGTTTGTTATTGTACATTCGTCAAGTTGAGCCAATTACAATACTTAACTGGTATTTTAACTGGTTCCGTCTTGCGATGTACAGGAAATCAAGATTATTTCCTTAGGTGTTAATTGATATTTTGTTTTCTGGTTATCTCAAAGAGCAACTGGTTTTGCTATTTGGGTTGTCTTCAAATGTCTGTTCAATGTTGCAGAAATATCTACATTATTTACATTAAATCTAGGGTTAAAATTACCAAAAGACTCAAGGTTTTTTCACAAAACGAACCGGTTAGTCTTTGTACATTTTACTGGTTATTTGTTTCATTATGATTTTAAGGCCGAACATAATCAAATAATCAGTTATTTTTCTTTTGCTTCTGATCAGGTTTGGGAACAATTTTTATCGGAAAGAGGGAGAGAAGGAGTCAAAAGTGAGAGCTTGGTATACTATTCATCAGTGAAACTCTCTATCAGCTTTTCAAGTGAAAGCAGCTTCCATGTCAACTGATCATTTGATTGTTATTGCCCTATTTTCATTATCTATCTAATTCGACTTGAAATTTGTGTTTATTTTGCAACTATAGCCACAAAAAATTGATTTTATTAAACAATATTCACCACCCACAGTGCCTGGTTTACCATTTTCAACAAATTCTCACCTGATCATCTGGAGACTTGACTTTTCTCTCAACAATTTTTTTCTTCTTTGGTTTAAGCTGTGATTATAGATCCACAACCAAATTGTCGATTATTTAGCTTGGTGATTTGTATACACAATTGATCCACTTTGTGTTGTAATCAAATGTGACGTGATCTGATGTTTTGTTCGTAAACAGATTCAAATTATAAAGGCTGACTCTTTTGTTTTGGTTGATCAACACACACTGTTCAAGACAACTTATTCAATAAAAGATATGGATAAGGCTTTAATCAATGGTGTCAATGGAAGCTCGATTGGAGCTAGTCATGTAATGTATGATTGTATGACTGGTGAACATTTAAAAACAATCAAAAGATTGGTCAAAAAATTGAAAATCAAAGCAGGAGAAGAAAGCAATGGACAAGTTAACCAGATGTACAACAGTTGGATCAAACTCAGTTTACTCTGTGATTATTTATACGAAATAGGTTCTGAATATTGTCACATTGATACAGTTAACAGACGCCGTAACGGTAAAGGTGTGAACCTATCTAATGGTATTCACAGCAGCAATAACAACAGATTTTCGAGATACAATGGTATTAAATGTTTGATCAAAGTTGTCAGTAAATTCGTTTGCCATGTTGAAGATGCCCTTGACAATGGTTTTGTGTCTGTTGGTTTATCAAATCCACTTTCAGTATCCACTTCAACATATGAAGTTTTACACTCAATCACTGAAATGTTGATTATTCTGCTTGAAATATTAAAGACCTACTTTGAGGATGAATCACCAGTTGAAACAGGTGCACAGGCAACAATGTATTTACTTGAAACTTACATCAAATCTCGAGAAAAATTGACTGAAGGAATCAAAGCATATTGGTCTCACTATCCTGCTTTCTGGTTAGATGAGGATGCTCAATGGGTTTCTTCATTTTTCTCTCTCATTTCATCATCACTGAGTAATCTACCCTACTCATTAAAGTCCTTGGTTTCTCGTTCTGCTCATGGTTACTGGCAGGAGGGTTTATTGTACTCTGCAAGTCCTTACTATCCCTTGAATTTGGCCAACTACGTTAATAATCCATTTACTTCAGCCTTGAATTGGGTAACCTGTAAATACTCTGGACTTGCCGTAAAGGAAATAGATGTTCCACGATCTACAAACTGGCAAATCCCTTGTGGTGGGACAGAAGGCGATGGTAAAGTTAGATATGTTGACAAACAGTCGGGAGATGCAAATCTTAAACCAATCAAATGTCGTTTGATTAACCATGCTGGCAAAGTACCAAATGGAAATGTTATCTTTCACTGTCAAGGAGGTGCGTTTACAGTAGAGTTACCTGCTATATTTGACCAATGTTTCCGTCACTGGGTTCCTTACCTAGAAGGTGGAACTATATTCGATGTGACTTATAGTCGATTTGTTCGGTATCCAGTTCAATTGCAAGAATTACTTGATGTATTCCTCTGGTTGACTAATTATGAAACAAATGACGTACAAAATACTCTGGGTTTTATTCCCAAGAAAATTATCTTCTGTGGCGATTCAGGTGGAGGTTTATTCTTATTCTCACTGTCAACAATCTTGCGAGATATCCAAATAATCATTTCTTCAACTCCTGATGGTCCACCGATTGCTTTTCCAAGTCATTTGTATCCAAAAGCGTTGGTCACTTTCTACCCAGTTCTTTCTTTAACATTCCCATCTGTACAGCCATCTTTAGTATTCTCTTTTCTTGAACAATTTCTCACTCCACTAGCCATTCTTAATTGTTTGTCTCTTTACTCAGCTGGAGTTATTTTTGATTCTGACTGTGAAAACCTTGATTCGTTCGATTCATCTCGTTACCTACAACCTTCACGCTGGCAAACCTTTTATAACACTTGGATTAGCAAGCAAAATATATGGCTTCAATGTGATAAAGAGGTATTGAGTGAACGAATCAATGCAATCGTTAACTCTTCACTGTCACCTTATAAATCTCCATTAATCAAATACAATCTTGATTTGATCAAAGATCTAAATATTTACCTTGTTGTCGGTGAATATGATCCTTTTCTTGACACTAACATTGAATTTGCTCAACGTTGGCCTGGAAAAATTGTTCTTGACGTTATAGAAGACGTAGGCCATGGATTTTTGGGCCTTACATGGACAAGCAAGAAATCAACATCAGCAGCTCGCTTATGCCTTGAAAGGATATTGGAAGCACTTAAAGATTGATTTGATGGACTTTGCTATCTATTACTTTGTTACACCCGTTGTTATTTAATTATCAATTCAGACAAGAATCTCAAAACATGAAATCTTAAGATTTTATTGTTAAATGAATACTATCAAGACAATATCATGTCTTTGTTTCAATTATATTCATATATCACTAAATATCGATTTATTTTTTTGACACTATCTTTGTTATGTTGAACGATTCAACTATGTGAATAAATACTTAATAGCGAAATGTTATACTTATCTGTGCAATAAACGCTGATTTTCAAATAAGAATAAATACACATCTGAACAAAAATCATTCTAACATTTTAATTATGACTGATAGAAATACATGCAATTACATATTTATGCAAAGAATGCACTTATAAAGAGCAATCCCAAAAAACACTGAATAAGGAAAATAATTGGAAAAAGTAATAAGTTCGCATCTCGGATGCTGGCATAGTTTTTGTAATCTCGAAGTCCCGCTGACAGAAGGATGGATATTTTGTTGGTGTACATTTTCATTCTGAGTTTTTGTCTAGACCGACTAAGCCATCGCCACCTCTTGTTGGTTTATGAAATTTCCTTATCAATTAAGCGAAATTTAAACCGTCTTGTACACACTTCACCTATTAAAGCTCTATCTAATAAAAAATTTCGGGATTTCTGTTTTTCTTAGTGCAACTGTTCCTAATGTGGTGGACTTTGCTGATTGGCTGGGAAGAACTCGTAAAAGTAAAATTCATGTACTGTATACTACTAAGCGTATACTACTGTCATGTATACTACTAAGCGTCCAGTTCCATTGGAACATTATTTGTATACTGGATGTGATGGAAAAACAATTAATGAAAAATTTCTTCTAATCGATAGTCGAGGTAAATTGACAGAAGAAAATTATCGTAAAGCTATGGCAGCCAAGAAAGAAAGAGAATCAAAATATCACAAGAGTTTTGGAGCTATTAATAAGTCATCAATGGGATCAGATAAAATTGTTAGAAATACTTATATTACAGTAATTCGACATTTAGCTAAAGATCAACTTCCAGTTATTATTTTTACATTCTCTCGACGACGATGTGACCAATATGCTCGTATGCTTGCAAGTCCTTTGGATTTACCCACAGCAGAAGAAAAAGGAAGAATTCAAAGATTTATTCATCGATCTTTATTACGTTCAAAATCGATCTATTCCTCAAATCAGAGATAACTGGATTGTTAAAAAATGCTTTAGGTATTCATAACCTTTAGGTATTCAGGAATTTTACCTCTTCTCAAAGAAATCACAGAAATATTATTCACTGAAGGATTGGTACGAGCCCTTTTTGCCACAAACTTTTCCATGGGAATAAATATGCGTATCGTAATATTTGATTCAATTCAAAAGCATGATGGTAAAGTTTTTCGTGATTTAGAGCCTTCATAGTAAATTCAAATGGCTGGTCGTGCAGGTCGTCGTGGTAAAGATAAAACTGGAAATGTGTTAATACTTTGTATAGGTGATATAACTGAAATGTCTATTCTTGCTTGGATGACTGTTGAGAAAGCAACTGAGCTTCAATCGCAATCTCGCTTAACTTATTCTATGATATTGAATAATTCAAGAGTTCGAGAACACATTGGAATTGAAAAATATGAAAATATCTGGTGAGCCTCTTTATCAGAATGGTTTAATTGCAAAAATTCACGCGAGGGAATTAGGAAGACCTAATATTAAAAACATTCGCCAAAATCTTTAATATTAAAGGGTAAAATTGTACACCATTATGAAGGTTTCATGTCACCATTAACATGAGCAGCTATTTTCATCCCGCGGGGTTTCACTAGGAGTATCCTTCAGATCAACTTCCACAATATCTTCTTTTACTTTAGATGTTTGTTCCATTCCAGGTAATGCTGCAGCAACTCTTCTGAAAAGTTGTTTCACATTATATCCTGATTTAGCGCTTGTCTCGATAAACATTACATTTAATTCTTTGGCTCTCTTTTCACCTTCCTCTGTTGATACTTGTCTTTTATCCTGTAAATCAGTTTTATTTCCGACCAACATTATGATGACATCGTTACCTCTTTCAGTGCGAACATCATCAATCCATTTAGACGTTTGATGGAATGAGTTGGCATTTGTAATGTCATAAACAACAACTGCAACCGTTGAATCTCTTATATAACTTGGAATAAGGCTTCGGAATCTTTCTTGACCTGCTGTATCCCATAACTGTAGACGAACAGTCCTCTCCTCGAGGTACATGGTTTTGGATAAGAAATCAATACCAATAGTAGCCTGGTAAGTATTATCAAATGTATCATACATAAATCTTGTAATAAGGGATGTTTTGCCAACTGATTGTTCTCCTAAAAAGACCAATTTGAATTTTTTCAAAGGATTCCCAAAATCACCTGGAGAGGACATTGTGTGAACAAATTAATCTTTTATGTGGCAAAGGAAAAAGCCAAAGATGCACAGAAGTAAGATAAGCACTACTAGACAAACTAAAGAGTTAATAAAAAGGAGGAGCACAAAAAAAATGAAGATGCAAAAATATTCAGAATAAGAAACAGTTGAAACTAGAGACTGATTACCTTTACAGTTGGCTAATAATATTTTTTGACTGCCCTCTGCGTTCAAAAATTGTAAACTCTTTCTTTTGCCTTTAATTTATTACATCACAGCATAAAGTATCGTGACTTGACTGTAAAAAAAGGTAACAAACAGTCTTCAGTGGAATTATCTTCTTCATTTGCCGACTCATAGATGGCAGTTAAAGCCAACGCTCGAAACTCACAATAAAATGAGTTAATGATAGGAAGCTCTTTAATTTGGTGATGATGGTGATTAACTGAATAAACGATTGACTCCAGATTGAATATAATTAGATAGCTTAACGGTTAACCTTTAAGAAACACTGAATAACGTTATTAGAAAGCATAAAATTAATACAAAGACATTGCCATCTGTTAATGAATAAAAGAGACAATCAAAAGATTCATCCGATTCATTGAATCGACTTTACTCAATGGTTGATAAAAAGATTTGTTTTCTTTTCATATTCAACTTTACTTTTTTTTTATCATCACCAAACATCATCATTTACAAGGATCTTTGTTTTCATTGATATCTTCTCTTTATCTCATCTTCATCACTGTTCTTCCCTTTAATCTTCACCCTTATTTTTCAGTATTACTTTTATAATGATTCTTAAGACGTTTTATATCTCTGTTCTAATTGATAAACAACCGATAAGAAACCATCTTTTTTACCATTTTGCTTCTCGCACTCCACTATAAGGTTATTTATCCGTTCGTCTTCAATTCTTCTCTTCTAGTATAACGCATTTTCAACATCGCCACAGCCAACAATCATCTTGCAAAGTCTCGTGTCAACTAATCGTATCATATTATTTCAACGCTTCTCTTGTTACAAAGCAAGTTCTACACTCTATTCCTATTTTCCTCTCTGTTTTTGGGTGAATTCGTGTTTACGTTATCTTGATCTATCCAAATTTTGTTAATTTTTCAACTGTAACCATGTCTAAGCCCATTCTTTCCAAAACCAAATCTTTATTAAATGATAATTCGCATTTGAGTGGCGATCAAAAGCTTGATCAAGCCATAAATGATTACCTTCAATGGGACCAGGTGAGTTATGCTCTTTTTATTGTTTCCTGTCATTTGTAGTTAAAGATTTACTGTTGATTATTTTCGCATGATTTTTTTTGTGTTAAGGTTCCTTTAGTTGCTTTGTCACAATCATCTGACTTAGCTACTCTCTTGATAAATTGAATCAATTTGAGACGAATGAATGATTGCTTTGTTTACAAATTGATGATGAGGTTACTTCCATCTTTTATATCTAATCTTGATTGATCTTTTCTAATTAAAACTGATAATTTCAGGAACTGATTAATGAAGGATGTCTTCGTCCAGATTTGATTCAATTTTATCGCTAAATACCCGATTGAATTGATGATATCTCAAAGAGCACTTTTAGATTTGAAGCGAGATTTTATTGTTTCGAGAATTTCATTTTCCAGTTGCCTGAGTTTATTGCTTGAGAAAACTGGAATCATTTTCAACTTTTAGGTGAAAATACAGCATCGATAAAAAAATTCATGATGGTTACGATGAGCAATTGTCAAAATATCGATCAGTTCTAATAAAATCATAAGTATTCATTTATTGATTAGCTATAATTTTAACTTTATTACAATTCAATGCCTTGTTCATCATTGCCTTAATTCATTTTCGTTGTCCTTTTTTTCAATTCAAAATGTAGCTAAAATTGAAGTGCTATTTCATTCTCAGCTTACAAGTTTTCTTGGTTGTGATAATCTTGAGTTCATAATAATCATGATAAAAATAATAATCTCTAATAAATATTTTATCACAATTCATGTTTGTTGAACTACGTAATTTCAATGCCACTGTAATAGTAACTGTGACATTTTTATCTTTGATTTCACTTGACATTATGAATAATATCATTAGCTTTAACTGATTATTTTTTAACATCTCATGCCCTTTTTTGTCGTCTACAGTATCAAGAAACTAGAGATTTTATCAAGAAGTTAACGACTGAGAAAGATTGGCCGAAATTACGAGAACTTTTAGGATCAAGACTTCAATTTGGAACCGCAGGAATCAGAGGTAAAATGGGTCCAGGATTCTCACGTCTCAATGATTTAGTAATCATCCAAACCTCACAAGGAGTGGCAAAATATTTATTGGAATATGATGATGAAATAAAAGATAAAGGCATTGTTATTGGTTACGATGGTCGGCATAATTCCAAGCGATTTGCTGAAAGAACCGCGGTTGCATTTCTTTCTCGTAATATTCCTGTTTATCTTTATTCTGATCTGGTACCAACTCCATTTATTCCCTTTAGTGTCAAACTATTAGGATGTTCAGCTGGGATCATGATAACAGCTTCACATAATCCTAAAAATGATAATGGTTACAAGTTGTATTTCGGCAATGGAGCTCAAATTATATCACCTCACGATAAAGGTATCCAAGAAGCAATCTTGAGTCACCTTGAACCATGGGAAGGAGCTTGGAAACGGGACAAATTATCATTAGCAGTTGATAAATTGCCTGAGATTGAGTCTCTATTTTATGATGAAGTTCGTAAACGAATCTGTGATCGATCTCTCATTGAATCCTCTGACCTGGGTATAACATACACAGCAATGCACGGTGTTTCTCATAAATATATGACTTGTTTATTGAAGCTGGTTGGCTTCAAAAAGATTCATCCTGTTGCCGAGCAGTCAGCTCCTGATCCAGAATTTCCAACGGTTCCTTTTCCCAATCCTGAAGAGAAAGGAGCACTTGATTTATCAATTAAATCTGCAGATTCTTCTGGGTCAACGCTCATTCTAGCCAATGATCCAGATGCTGATCGATGTGCAGCTGCTGAAAAACAACCCAACGGTAAATGGAAAGTATTTACGGGTAATGAATTGGGACAGTTGCTCGGTGCTTGGCTATGGTCTGAACATCTTCGTAAAGATAAAACAACTTTAGCCAAAAATGTTTACATGATAGGTTCAGCAGTTTCATCAAAATTTTTAGACACAATGGCCAAAGTTGAAGGATTCAATTTCATCGAGACATTGACTGGATTTAAATGGATGGGAAATAAAGCTGATGAACTAGTCAAGGAAGGTAAAAAGGTGCTTTTAGCTTTCGAAGAAGCTATTGGTTACATGTGTGGAACCCATATTCTTGATAAAGATGGAATCACTGCATCCATTGAGGTAGCTCAGATGGCTGTTTGGTACAAAAAACACACAGGACGCACTTTGGCTCAACAATTGGATTATCTTTATGATAAATATGGTATTCATTGTAGCAATAATGGTTATTTTTTTTCTACAAACCAGGAATTAACTAAAACAGTTTTTAATCGACTTTCCAACTGGGGAGGATCTCACAGCTATCCAGCTTCATTAGGATCATACAAAATTGTTAGAGTTCGTGATCTAAATCGAGGATATGATACAAATGAAAGTGATAAAAGAGCAGTAAGTATCTAAAATAATCATGAGTAATTAAACAGTGTGACACTAACCTTTTCAACGTTTTCTATTCCTAGCGTCTACCTTCTGATTCATCTAGTTACATGTTGACCTTTTACTTTTCAAATGGAGCTTGGTTAACAATTCGAACAAGTGGAACCGAGCCAAAGGTTAAATATTATTCCGAAATGTGTGCAGCACCAGACATCAAGTAAGTTAAATTATTGTTGACAACCACAACTCCTTATTAATTTAGTTGATTAACCAATGGATCCGTCTAACCAAGGATCAATAATTTGTTTTTCTTCCTGCTACTCTTTTCTTCTCCAAACAGAGACCGAAATAAAGTAGAGAAAGAGCTTTCTCAAATAATCGATCTTATGACAAAAGAATGGCTTTCAGAACTGGCATCACCAAAATAATCATCATTCCAATGATCTTCATGAACAAACCAGAAACCAATGATGTGCTCTTATCGTTTCAACGCCTTGCTATGATTACTTCTTGTCCATTCCTAGATTCGCCATCATTGCCCATTTTTAGTTTACCCATTACAGTGCTATTCAATTGAACTTATTTCCAAAATTTGGTGGCTTTATTAGTTTGCGAATGAAGCAAAATGGCGATAAAAAAAGTTCTATTGATCATCATCGGTAAAGAAAAATTACTCGGATCCAAAAACCCAGAGATTATCTATTTCCTTGTTTCTTTTGTTAAATTAATGTAATCTTCTTGGTGCATTAATATCGTGCTTTTATCCAAATCATTTAAACTAAATGGTATCATCTAGTCTATTACAAAATCACCTCTAATTGTTCACTTAGAGCATTGCGTTTAAAGTGCAATCAATCTTTTTTCTGATTTCAATGATTAGTCCTTAAATTTATGATCTTACATGATCGGAAATCTTCATGTATATAATGTCACAAAATTCCAAGTGCAGCAAAATGATTGACATTGTTGTGTCCAATAGCAATGTTATTTAACTATAATTCAACCTTGCTCAAGTTGCAACTCTTAAAGTTGTGAATGAGACGTCAAATCATTCACAAACAAAATGTATTAATAATAAAAACATCAAGAAATATGTCTGCTAAGTTAAACAGTAAACTTGTTTATTTAATTAGAATCAAACCAGCAATTTGTTAATCTTTTAATGAACTACGTAATCATTTAAATGAGCCATCATTCAAGATAATCAATCACTTTGTATTTACTAGTAAAAAGTGACAACAACAGACATTCATGGTTAAATCAAACCCTTCAAGATTATAGCACAAATTCAATGGCATCAACAAAAGCAATGCAAACAACATCACTTTTTCATTGTAAACGTTGAGTTTGATAATTGCCTGACTAACTAACAATAAGAGATTTAAAGACATTGAAAAGTCAGATTGAATTAGAAGCAATTGAACTAAATAAACAAATACAATTCCATTGATTAATTAAATCGCAGAAAAAAAGGAAAGTAAATCTTCTTCAACTGATCTAAATTAAAGATTAACAATTGTCTTAAATTAGCTAAAAGCGCAGGTTAGTAAAAAACTGTTCAACTTCGGCCATTCAAATAAAATGTAAACCATTTATTTCATTGTACAATATGATAATGATTAAGAGTGAACAAGAACGGTCAAATTAATTTGATTGCTCAATCGAAACAATTGATTAATTTGAAGCCGTTTAACTTTCTCATTCTCTATTGATAGCAATCAAAAGGAGAAATCAAAAAGATCGTGATTGACCTGATCCATCAATTCATAAATATACATTATCATCGTTAACAGTAACAAAAACATTATTGAATTATGGAAGCCGTCATTATCATCATCGCCTTCTTCATCATTGCAATCATTACCATAATCATGATTTGAGCCATTTAAGTAATAATAAATTCATGTCAAACATTGAAATGTTGTGCTTTAATTTTGTTGTTAACATTCAATCTTTATCATCTTCTAGCGATCATTTATTGCTAAGGTAACAAAGGTGCAAAAATGGTAAAATCAGCATTTCCAAGATTGATTTAATTGTTGAACTGACTAATGGAAGATTTTTTAGCGAAAATTGAAAACATTGAATCCAAATCAAATTGTCAGTCAAGAAGTGCAAATTTGAGATCCAAGAAGCTCTACTTTACGATCATTAGCTCAGAATTAATTGTTGCCACAGCTTTTACTTGATTGTTTCATTTGATGATTTATTTTCCTTTTAATTCTTTATTTGTTCTCCAACAGTTTTCTTTATTCATTTTGTTCAAATTGAAATGCTTTTATTGAACAGGATCATTAGGCAGGATTTGATGGCTTAATAAACACACCCAGTACTTTATCAGGACCACCAGAATGATCTTAAAAGTTTTGATGATTGGTACATTTCAATTCATGATGTTTAATTCAATGCTTTGGGAGGAACTCTTGAAGAAAATAAAGGAGGATAAAAAACTCTTTATCATGATTGAATCGCGCCTTTATGTTTATGTTTTCTTTATCCTGTAATTACTGACACAAGAAGAAAGATTGACAAACTATTTTAATAGTTGACAATATTAATTTAATTTTATACGATGTTGATGAAGATGGGGATGTTTTTATACAATTGTATTTATAAATTTATATAATATCTTTTAGTTCCCTCATGAATTCTTCATATGCATCATCTTTTGTTGGTTGTGGTTGCTGTTTGAATTGAGTAGAATCATAAGGCTTTGAAGTAAAACTGAAATTAGATTCACCTGGAAATAAAAGAAAGAATAAATTAATTAGTAATATAAAACTTTAAATGGGAAAATGTAATAGCACAAGATAGTTGGAAACTCGATACAAACCTTCATTTTTGTTAGTTTTCTTTACATTTTTCTCATTTCTTCTGATTTTTAAAGACAAAGGAGTAAATCTAATTGCATCGGCACTCAAATTCCTTAGTTGAGGTTTCGCTTCTATCGTTGCCTTATCAGAAACGACATGAGATGGCTTTTTGTCTTCTTTCCTATTATTATTTTGATTTCCTCTGGGGTTATGTCTGGGAGCATTATGCCGTTGAGGTCTAGAATGTGGTGGTCCCATACCAGGTCTAGGAGGTCCATTAGGTGGTGGCATACCAGGTCTAGTTTGTCCATGCATTAAAGGTTGAACAGGAGGACGAAGTAATAGAACAGGTGGAGGAATTGGAGGAGGGGCTGGTTGAATTTTAGTAGGAGCCATAGTAAGTATGGGATTAGTTGGTGGAATTGTTGTTTCCTGAAGAGCTGATGTCGAAGTAGGTATAGGGTTGATGGTAGTTGTGTTGGAAGAGATTGGCGTTGTACTAGTATTTGGAAGCGTAGATGAAGTAGTCGTTGAGATCTCATTTTCTGAAACGGTTGACTCTGTGGGCTGAGAATCTTCGGGAGAAGAAGGAGCATTCTTATCATTTTCAGCGACAGTCTTTTCTACATCTTCAATTTCCTTCAAAAACTCGTTAACATCAGCTTCCTTTTCATTATCACCAAAATGTACTTTTTTATTTGTTTCTTGTTCATCATCTGAATCTCCATCTTCAAAATCATCTAGATTTGGTGGTGGACCAGGAGGTAAGCCTGGAGGATCTTTATTTATCACTGGTGTTGTGGTACTCTTTTTAAGAATTGAAGAAGGTTCACTTTCTGGTTCCTCTTCGATTATTTCTTCACCTGTATTGGCTTCGGGAGGGCCTGTAGGAAGAGGGATGTCATCTAAAGCTACTTCTTGAGCTGATTTAACCGCCTCATAAAATTTGATCAATTGATTTCGCTTTGATTCATATTCAGCTTCTAATCTCTTCAACTCCAAAAACTTTTCATGTTCTTCTTTAACCTGAAAATAAATTAATAAGACATCAGTAATGTGTGACCAATATTAAGAATCTTAAACAAGCTTCAACTCACATAAAGCCTACATAACCGATCCCAAGTTTCTTTCAGTTTTCTCCTTTTGTCACGTAAAACCTTCTCATTAAGTGGGGGTGGTACATCAACGTTGAACTCCATCAGATCAAGACGTTCCATATCAGCTAAAACTTGATGTGGATCTTTTCCTTTTAAAACTGCAGTCCTGACCAGCATTCGCTGTTTCTTGTTCTTCTTCAACTCTCGCTTACGTGCTTCCTTGCGAGCTTGATCGGTGGGGTTCATGTACTTACCACTTTTAGTGGTGTTTATCGACCGTCTCCCCATGACTAAAGATACTTAACTAGTTATAAAACACAAATATGAACAATAAAACAAAAGGAAAAAGTATCAATTTAAATCACAAATCACAATAAAAATTTCAAGACCATCATATGTTTACTTTTTGTAAAACCAAAACAGAAAATAACTTCTAAAGAAAACACTAGGTGGCAGTCAAAAGCAATCTCGGAAAAAGTAAAAAAAGCTGCTTTACAAACCATTAGAAAGACTTTAAATAACAAAAATTGCTCGAATAAACAACAAAAAAATGAATTTCTAGTTTAATCGTAAAGATATTATAATTTTAAATGTATAAATTATTCAAAAAGTTTACTATTGACGCACGGGATACGTTAATAGTAAGTCAAAACCATGGGATTGATGGACAGTTTGACTGTTATGCATTTACAAGTAAATATTTTGTTTCAATTTAATTCATTCAATACGTACAGTATAACAAGTCAAAACATCAAATTTTGGTGAAATAATTATGGCTAGACGGAAGGGATTCTAAGGAGAAATTTTTACACACCCTGAAAGCCTTGATTGGACTACATGTCTGAAAATAGTCAGAGCTTAATCGAAATTCAGGTTACTGAGAAATTTAAGTTTAATCTGATTGAAGAAAAACTTTTTTGTTATTCTCATTGATAGTTTATTGTTGGACTAGGAGTTTATGTATATCGTTCGAGTAAAGAAGAAGAGTTCGGTGAAAAAAATCTGGTATCTCGACTGTACAAATCTGGATCTAAATTTAGTCAAAGATTGTCCATTAGAGGAAAGTTTGAGTTCAAGAACTAGAATCCATTTTATGACCCCAACCAACAAAAAAGTTTAGCTCTCAACTGGAACGTAAATTTTTAATCAGATCTGGAAACATCTTTGTGATTAAAAAGTTTGACTGATCGAAGTTTTTGAAAAAAGACTTTAAAATTTCAAACTTCGAGTGCATTTTGCTCAGTTGTAGAACCGTTTTTATTTATTTTTTAGTTTTCCTTATTGATGATTCTTTCATTGCAAATCCGACTCTTTTGCTTGTGTATTGAATTTTACTCACAAGTGGAAAGAGTTTGCGATCAGCCTCTGGTTTATGTAATGAAGTTTCTAGATTAATTATCAATGTCCAACTTATTTATGGACAGAAATATTACGCATTGAACTTGTTAAGATTGCTTGAGGGCTAAATGGGCATGAATTTCCGGTGTAAGATTATGATGATGATAATGATAATGGATGAGTAATAAAGGGTGAATAAAAGATTCAAATAATCAATTAGATATGAAAGGGGTTGACTTGAGTGAGATGATGATGATGATGATGAGAAAGTGAGAGATGAAGAGTAAGAAGAGAAAGAAGAGTAAGAAGAAGAAAGAGAGAGAAAGTTATGATGGAAATGGTGAGCGCTATGAATGTAAAGGTGGACAAGTAACAAGTGGTTGAAGATGATTTTCAGTTGAGTTAACAGTTGATCTCCTTGAGTTTCGTTTGTTAAATAGTAATCAAGTGAATTTAAAAGTAAGTTTATCATCAAAATGAAAGTGAAAGTGAATTGTGAATGAATTTTATAGTTGATTTGATATAGGATGGCCTTTAATGTTGTTGTTATTATCACAAGAAAGGATTAGTTGTTTGGTTTCAGTTCAATCATGCAAACTGATTATACTTGTTGGAATCCAGGTGATTCATATCAGTTGACCAGTTTATCTGGATCATCTTCATCTTCATCACTCAATTATAATCAAACAAATTGTGATCAACAACCAACTTCAACAGCAACAACAACTACAACAACAATAAGCAATACTTCAATACCAAATGATTCAGTGTTTAATATGTTTGATCCAACAGATTCAGTTAACCATTTAAATAGTGATTCTTATCATCATTTAGATTATCATCATCAACCAATTGATTCTTATAATTATTCTCAATATTACATTAATGAACAATCATCTTATCACATTAATTGTGATCAATTGTCAATTGAAAGTTCAAATAATAAATGTTATTCATCTGAATCATCTTCACCTGAATTGTGGGACAATTATGGATTAACCGATAGTAACAATAATATCAATCAAAGTGGACAAGTTTATAACAATTATCAGTCAAATGTAACAAGTTATTGTGATCAACAACAAAACTCAAATCAAAATGATCTTAATATTGGAAAGACATTTACCAATGATAATAACATTGGAAGTATAAAGGCCAATGTGAAATTAACAAACAAATCAACTTCAAGATTGTCTCTTAAACAATCAAACAATCGAAAGGTAAGAATATAATTGATTTAAATAAGAATTCTTATTAAAATTCGTTAATTTGTTGTCTTTTCATTCAGGTTTTATCTGTCAATAAAATAAAGAATGAAAATGTTTCCCATTTCAATTCAAATCAGATCCCTAATCATTATCATCTCCACCATCAAACCCATCATCCACACCATCGATCAATTGAATATCGAAATGAAAAGTATGGGAATCCTGAAGATGAAGAAAGACGAAGACGAAGACGAGAACGGAATAAAGTGGCCGCAACCAAATGTCGAAACAAGAAGAAGGTTCATGTTTACAAGTTGTGTCAAGAATCTGAAACATTGCAATTGACCAATTCAAGTTTAAAGGATGAAATGTTGATCCTGAAAAGGGAAGAGCAAAGACTAAATGAATTGCTGGTTAAACATTTACCTTATTGCATGAGACGAACTCTTAAACCAATTAGTGATTCACTTAATCTTTAGATTGATTATAATCTCAACACCAACACAATCCTTTATTCAATCCTCCATATTGATCATCTATTTATTATTTCAATTGTCACACTTGTTTAACTTAATCAACAACTTGGTTCATTTGCGGGTCTCAAATCTCATCAATTTAAATAAATCATTTTCCTTCCTTCACCTTTTCATCTTTTCATGTAAAATTAAAACTCAACCATGTAATGTCCATAACTAAACCATCAACCAACTTTCCAATCAACCAAAAAATGATTTTCTTCTTCTTCTTGTACAGAAAACACTTTTTACTCTTGATTTTTGTTCATCTATTAATCAGTTGTTAAATTAACAAATGTTAAATGCAAGTGCAAATGTAAATTCAAATGTAAAGTCATCACGGAAGAGACACAAAATTAAATTAAGTGAATCCAGTTTATGGTGTTCATTACAATTTCATGCTCATTCAAATCTAATCAACTGGTTAAACAGCTAATGAACAAGAAAATTAATCAACTATTTAAATTGTCATTCAACTTGTTTGGTTGGTCAATGGAAAAATCGAATACCAATTTAACCATCTAACCACCAATAATCAATGGTTACATGGAAATGAATCTCAATATTGATTAAAAGGTAAGGAAAAGGGAAGCCAATGAAGGTAATGAAAATAATGTTATTTTAAAACCTTGATTGTTGGTCAAATAATTGTTGATTATCTTGAATATAATACAAAATTGAAGACAATTAACTTTACCCGAATCCAATATTTTCATCCAAAATTATAATTCACTTTCAACCTTGATTAACAGAGTAACCAAAACAAAATGACCTTCTAGGATTCAAGTGCTTACATGTTAATTTAATATCTATTTTTGATAATCAACGGATTTTTGATTATTATTTAAAGTAATTCATCAACAGTCTGGTTTCATATCAATAATCATCAATTTGCAGTTCAATTTAATAGCTTAAAGTAATAACAAAATACATTTCAATTGATATCTCCAAATTGATTTATATAACATGAATGTGAACATTAATCACGCTTAGCTTTAATCTCATGCTAAATCTTGTCACATCAACTATCAATTTATTTGAAAACTTGTTTAATTCATTTTCAATTGCTGCACTTATCATCATTTATCATGGTCCATCATGAAGCAAATAAAGATAAACCATGAATTATTTATTTACCAGAAATAATATTTTCTGTAAATTAAACCATTGGACTGTAAAAGAATGGCTAATTAACCGTTAATTGTTTCAATTTTTGTGTTACAGTTATATTGACCTTAACACTTAAAGTGAAAAGTAAATCACAATCGCCTACTTTAAATCTCGTTCATTTGTACAATTACAATTATAAGTATTGATTAGCATAATTATTGTAAATTGAATGATGAAGAAGAAGAAGAAAAAGATTGAACAATAATTCAATTTTCCCATCATTCTGTTAGCTGTCCATGAATGTTCAATGAATTCAATTAATATCAATATATATTCAATGTATTTAACGATATTAACGGCCAACTACGTGCTGATCATGCTGAGAGAATCATCAATATCAGGTAAACGAAAATGATAAAAGTACAAAAAAAGCAAAAACCTCTTTTTTTGGTAATTTCAAGTGCTTTTTAACTGTTCACTGAATCACCTTTAAATGCATTACAATTTAAAAATCAAAATTCATTACCAAATTCAATCCAACATCTAAATCAAATAAAGTTGAGGTTAAACAACAATTTTAGTTATCCAAATGAAACTAAATTAAATTTAAAATAAAAATCAAGATCCTTCTTTGGTGTCACTTTAACATTAAAATTAATTCCTAACCTTTAATTCATTCAGAAAACGTAAGTTTCGCCATTTTTATAGCAAATCTGCATTTAAATTGTAAATCTCAGCATAACTTGAAAATGTCATCAAAACATTTCCAAACATTTCCTAATTTCCCTAAAGATTGGCCCATAAAAGTGCGTTTAACCAACAGTTTCATTCAATCTTCACTATCGATATCGACCTTTGATTGAATGTTCAGATTTCATTTCATTTCAAGATTGGTCGAGATGTTTCTTGAAACTTGGAAATGCTTTTTGCTTGAAAAATTGAAAGAAACTAGAAAGGTATTTTTCTGTTATTTTCAGGCTTCTTTTGCAATGAAAATCAACTTTAATATTTACTTTGAAACTAATGAAATTCATGATGAATTTGATTGACAGTAAACATTGAAAAGATTATACAGGTTAATTTGACAAGGAATCAAAGAAAAATTGAAAAGTCAAGAGAAACGACATTAAACTTTTGTTTACATTGAATCTGACAATCAGGATAATCATGATAATCATGACAATCATTATCATCAAATGTTGGAATATCATTGAAGTAAAACTTTTGTTAACCTTAATTTTCAATTTTAAATTGTCAAACATTTCATTATAACAAAAAGATATTTACGACAATAATGATCATTAGCGTATCAAGTGATGAACCATTGAATTTTAATGAAAACGCCTAAAAAAAGTTAAACCATTTGAAACCTTTTTTTAATTGCCTAAACATTTCACTTAACTATTCAGCACATTTTCATAATTTAATAATGAAAGGTTACAATGACAATTAGTTGCAAGAACGAGTTTCAGTGAATATCAGACAGAATTCAATTCAAACTTATAGATTGATTTTTTGATTAAATCCTAATGAAGTTGTTTCTTTTAATTGTATCAACATTATACATTCAATTATCTTTTGTTTAAAATATAAATTATCATTTCCTTCTGGTCTTATTTACATCATCATATTCATGATGATCATGAACAACCAAGCCTGTGTTATAGGAATACAATCGCAATTATTAATTGTATTTATTAATACAATAAACACACCTAAAGTGGGTCTTGCCGGGTGGCCTTATTAAGCCATTATCACTCATTGAAATTAATCATTGGAATAACATTTTCCCGTTAAAAGCAACATTTGATCAACAGCAAGTAGTTTCTGTCTTTTAATTTAATTAACACTGTTGATCAAGACAAACAATTAAATGAAGAAGGAAAGGTTTTCAAGGTAAGAATGAAATATTAACCAAGAAAGGTTAAAATTCAATGAATAATAATAACTTCGATATTCATATTTTCCCTGTTAATCAACGAAAATATGAAAATTAAGATTTCTCCGTTAAATCATCTTCTAATTGAATCCCAACTCCAAAGTTGATTAATTTGATTTACAGTTAAGATTCAACTTTTTATGTTCAATGGAGCAACGTTCATGAAAGGCTCAATTGCTGATATCAACTGAATCACTTTCAATTTCAAGTCAATTGCAGTTTCATTTCCTTAACTTGCCTTGAATTCAGTTTAACTTTTCTTTTCAATCAAAGTTAATTTTTTCTCGTTAAACCCTCCATTGTTCAGGAATCTCTGAAAGAGGATAAGCAATTAACCAGTCATTTGAATAACATGAAAATTTATTGCATCAAATTTAGTTGGACAAGATGAATGTTAACTCGATGACCATGAAGGATGAAACGATTCAATGATGAGTACTAACCTGAGCTGATCTGTCAATCTTTGATAGGAAATTTCATAATGATTGATCAACATCATCAATTTATCATGATAACACCACACACCTTGTTGTGCACACACAATTGACTGGCTAACAGGATTATCAGTCCATCTCAATCGCTCATTTATCCCATTCATTGTTATCATCAAATTATTATAAATACTTTCTTATTTGCGATCAATCAGCTAATCAAACTGTAGACCAACTTGGCTTTATTCAAGTTATTATTAGTTTATTTACTTCTAATCACTTTTCATTCTTGATTCGGTTTCGACGGGATTTACCCAGAACATTATCATTATTAAAATGTTCAATAATGTTTGCATAAAAATCATCTTTAAAAGACGATTACTTTTCTCTCCTCTTGCTTTCCATGTTATTTGAAGGTAAAAAAACATTTAAGGACAAACTTTTGCAACTTTCATGAATTTCATTTAAATTAATTGTTGATTAATCATATTTTTTTGACCTATCAAGGCAACTCATACAAGTGAAAATGACAACCAAACAATCAACTAAACTCAATAGTTTTCATGACATTTCACTGATCATTACATAACAATTAACTGGACTTGATGCCGATAACTCAACCATTGAGAATTGAATTTATTTTGTGAGAATTCATTTGAATAAGAAATCAATTGAATTGATGAATCTTAATTTTGATATTTCTGATTAACATTCACGAAAAAATATGAATATCGAAGCCGTTAAGTTATTATTATTCATTGAATTTTAACCTTTCTTGGTTAATATTTCATTGTTACCTTGAAAACCTTTCCTTCTTCATTTAATTGTTTGTCTTGATCAACAGTGTTAATTAAATTAAAAGACAGAAACTACTTGCTGTTGATCAAATGTTGCTTTTAACAGGAAAATGTTATTCCAATGATTAATTTCAATGAGTGATAATGGCTTAATAAGGCCACCCGGCAAGACCCACTTTAGGTGTGTTTATTGTATTAATAAATACAATTAATAATTGCGATTGTATTCCTATAACACAGGCTTGGTTGTTCATGATCATCATGAATATGATGATGTAAATAAGACCAGAAGGAAATGATAATTTACATTTTAAACAAAAGATAATTGAATGTATAATGTTGATACAATTAAAAGAAACAACTTCATTAGGATTTAATCAAAAAATCAACCAATCAAATTCAATTCTGATCAACAATTATTCTATACGCACAACTAGATCATGATCTTGCCTCATTTCAATACCAAATTGAAGGGGATAACATCGCTTTTGATGGAAACCAATTTATCTATAGCAATTAGAACTCAGAATTGTTATGATTTGTCAATGTTTAATCAATAATGTTGGCTAACAATTAGATTGCAACAATAACTTGAATCCTAGAAGGTCATTTTGTTTTGGTTACTCTGTTAATCAAGGTTGAAAGTGAATTATAATTTTGGATGAAAATATTGGATTCGAGTAAAGTTAATTGTCTTCAATTTTGTATTATATTCAAGATAATCAACAATTATTTGACCAACAATCAAGGTTTTACAATAACATTATTTTATTCCCTTTCATTGGCTTCCCTTTTCCTTACCTTTTAATCAATATTGAGATTCATTTCCATGTAACCATTGATTATTGGTGGTTAGATGGTTAAATTGGTATTCAATTTTTCCATTGACCAACCAAACAAGTTGAATGACAATTTAAATAGTTGATTAATTTTCTTGTTCATTAGCTGTTTAACCAGTTGATTAGATTTGAATGAGCATGAAATTGTAATGAACACCATAAACTGGATTCACTTAATTTAATTTTGTGTCTCTTCCGTGATGACTTTACATTTGAATTTACATTTGCACTTGCATTTAACATTTGTTAATTTAACAACTGATTAATAGATGAACAAAATCAAGAGTAAAAAGTGTTTTCTGTACAAGAAGAAGAAGAAAATCATTTTTTGGTTGATTGGAAAGTTGGTTGATGGTTTAGTTATGGACATTACATGGTTGAGTTTTAATTTTACATGAAAAGATGAAAAGGTGAAGGAATGAAGGAAGGAAGGTTTGGAAATGTTTGGAAAAGGTTAAAAAGGTGAAAATGATTTATTTAAATTGATGAGATTTGAGACCCGCAAATGAACCAAGTTGTTGATTAAGTTAAACAAGTGTGACAATTGAAATAATAAATAGATGATCAATATGGAGGATTGAGTAAAGGATTGTGTTGGTGTTGAGATTATAATCAATCTAAAGATTAAGTGAATCACTAATTGGTTTAAGAGTTCGTCTCATGCAATAAGGTAAATGTTTAACCAGCAATTCATTTAGTCTTTGCTCTTCCCTTTTCAGGATCAACATTTCATCCTTTAAACTTGAATTGGTCAATTGCAATGTTTCAGATTCTTGACACAACTTGTAAACATGAACTTTCTTCTTGTTTCGACATTTGGTTGCGGCCACTTTATTTCGTTCTCGTCTTCGTCTTCGTCTTTCTTCATCTTCAGGATTCCCATACTTTTCATTTCGATACTCAATTGATCGATGGTGTGGATGATGAGTTTGATGGTGGTGATGATAATGATTAGGGATCTGATTTGAATTGAAATGGGAAACATTTTCATTCTTTATTTTATTGACAGATAAAACCTGAATGAAAAGACAACAAATTAACGAATTTTAATAAGATTTCTGATTTAAATCAATTATATTCTTACCTTTCGATTGTTTGATTGTTTAAGAGACAATCTCGAAGTTGATTTGTTTGTTAATTTCACATTGGCCTTTATACTTCCAATGTTATTATCATTGGTAAATGTCTTCCCAACATTAAGATCATTTTGATTTGAGTTTTGTTGTTGATCACAATAACTTGTTGCATTTGACTGATAATTGTTATAAACTTGTCCACTTTGATTGATATTATTGTTACTATCAGTTAATCCATAATTGTCCCACAATTCAGGTGAAGATGATTCAGATGAATAACATTTATTATTTGAACTTTCAATTGACAATTGATCACAATTAATGTGATAAGATGATTGTTCATTAATGTAATATTGAGAATAATTATAAGAATCAATTGGTTGATGATGATAATCTAAATGATGATAAGAATCACTATTTAAATGGTTAACTGAATCTGTTGGATAAAACATATTGAACACTGAATCATTTGGTATCGAGTTATTGCTTATTGTTGTTGCAGTTGTTGTTGCTGTTGTAGTTGGTATTGTTGGTTGTTGATCACAATTTGTTTGATTATAATTGAGTGATGAAGATGAAGATGATCCAGATAAACTGGTCAACTGATATGAATCACCTGGATTCCAACAAGTATAATCAGTTTGCATGATTGAACTGAAACCAAACAACTAATCCTTTCTTGTGATAATAACAACAACATTAAAGGCCATCCTATATCAAATCAACTATAAAATTCATTCACAATTCACTTTCACTTTCATTTTGATGATAAACTTACTTTTAAATTCACTTGATTACTATTTAACAAACGAAACTCAAGGAGATCAACTGTTAACTCAACTGAAAATCATCTTCAACCACTTGTTACTTGTCCACCTTTACATTCATAGCGCTCACCATTTCCATCATAACTTTCTCTCTCTTTCTTCTTCTCTTTCCACTCTTCTTCTTACTCTTCTTCTCTCACTTTCTCATCATCATCATCATCTCACTCAAGTCAACCCCTTTCATATCTAATTGATTATTTGAATCTTTTATTCACCCTTTATTACTCATCCATTATCATTATCATCATCATAATCTTACACCGGAAATTCATGCCCATTTAGCCCTCAAGCAAATCTTAACAAGTTCAATACATAATATTTCTGTCCATAAATAAGTTGGACATTGATAATTAATCTAGAAACTTCATTACATAAACTAGAAGCGATCATAACTGGTCGCAAACTCTTTTCACTTGTGAGTAAAATTCAATACACAAGCAAAAGAGTCGGATTTGCAAGAGTGAATTCTCACATGCATTAAACTTGAGCACCGTATATCAATAAATCTTTTTTATTCGATTCACATTTTATTAAAAGAAAGATCAATAAGTTTTCATCAAATTAATGATCCACTAATCGAAACTATCCAGTCAGAATTGAAATGGAATCAACCTAAATGAATTAGTCATTTTGGACTGCTGAAAACATTAACTTTGAAGTTTGCTATAACAAAGTATCATTCAATTGCGTATGTCTATAAACTGATTTCTATGCAGCACTCGATTGATACTAAAAAGACACAATCAACACAATTGTCACATAAGGTAGTGCAACCTAAAATTGACACATTCATATTTAATAGTTCAAATGAAATTTTAGACAGAATGTCTAGACATAAAGGCACCATTTTTACAGGTATCGAGCCAGCAACCTTACACAAGCTAAATATGAAATTTGAAGTCAATCGGTCAAACATGGGTCAACTATGTCTTCATTAAGTGAACCATCAAGAGAACAAAATGAAACAAAAATCGTAGACCAAACAGCTAGTTGGAAAAAAATCCCATAGAAAATAATGTTAAATATCAAAACTTGAAAAATTTGACAAAGATTGTTTTCTTTGATTTTTTTCATGAGATAGAATGAACATAGCAACAAAACCTAATTATGGTATATTATTAGGACTTAATTAATGAAAATTAAAAAAAAATAATTTGCTAACTAATCTGATTGTTGAATAATTAGCAAAACAATTTATGTGTCAATTTTTAGTTGCACTACCTTACATGCACAAATTGACAGACCTTTTAATGAAACTCATTTTCCTTTTATTTTAATGACGAACCAGAAAATTCAATTTTGATCACATGAAATAACGTTTTGTGTTGAGTTTCGTGAAAAAATCCGCTTCCATAAATGAACACAAAAGCTTTGCGAATTTCAACTTCGAACCTGATTTTTCGAGAACTGTTCATCATAGACACATTTAAGTCGCACAAATAAATTCAGTTTTCATGTCTCTGCAGACCAAAAGAGTGTCAATTTGAAAGCAATCTATTTTTACCCGTTTTTGCCCGTTTGTGTAAATTTGTTTATAAATGTGACAATTGTGTTGATACTGTAGCTTTGGGAATAAACTGATTCTGAGTTATCTTTAGGAATGATCTTGATTAGATTGATCGTTAATAAGCATCATCAAATATTGAGCTAGATGCATTCAATAAACTCAATCTACTTGCTTAGGGGCAAGTCTAACATGGCAAGTGAATGCAAATTTCTAGGAAAAGGCAATGAAAACCTCAAAAAAATAAAAGATCATTAAACCTTGTGGTTTAGGAGAGTGAAAATTTATGGTATAAATTGAAGTCTAATCGAGTCATTGATTTCGAATTAAGATCATTTAGTGGAAATACATGAGTTTCAATGGTCCCAATGTTTAGGATTAACAGTAAAAATCTGTGCGAATTAGAGTTTTGGTTGATAATAGCCATAAATTACAGTAGGATTTAAATTAAAGACGATGCTAACCTAAATGCCTGATATTCCTGAAAACGACTCATAATATTTTTAAAGAGAAACCGCTATTGCTATATTAAAGGGTAATGAAGCAACAATAGTAATTAACATTGAAGGAATGAATCAGGAAAATGTTTAACATAATTTACATTAACTAATAAAATTGAGAATCAGTTCAATAACAAAGAAGCTAACATGTAAAATTTATGAAAACATAATTGAAACACTAATCTGTACAAGAATGGTGCTAAAAGAATCGTAAAAATATTTCGGAATAACTATGAGTAATCCACCAAATAGCTCTGTACTTTATTGCTTGTACTGCAAGGTCGTAGGACTCCTGTGGCATGAGTCCCCTGCTGTATCATCGTAATAACTGGAATAGAGTCAATGTTGTTCAACTTTAAAATAAATGATAGTTTTAGGTTCTTACTACAATTTGGATCTTTAATTGATTTTTTAGTTGCATTCAATGTTAATAACAAGTTTTCAATTGTAACATTCAATTTACAAACGATTCTTAAGTTTCACTTCCGATTTTTTTCATAGCTTGAAAGAAAATTTCCGAAGAACCTGCTTCGGTATTGTTTTAAAGTTTAAATAATTTTTATTTTCAATATAATTTAGTGGCACAATAATTAAGAGAGGAAATAAAATTAAAAACTGTTATCTCGAGTTTAACAGGCATAGTGAGTATAAAAGCAATAAATAATGAACTTCTGTTCATTAATTTATTAGCTATAAATTATAAATAATCAAACAAGATAAAAATTAGAGTTTGGTTTTTTTCTGAAAACCAATTTTCATTTCATGCAGTGACTGTTCATTGTTGAAAAGTTGAATTTTTGGCTAAGCATGTTAGATGATGGTGATGAAGTATGGCCCAAACTTGAATTTTTACATAAATTACAAGAAAATAATTAGGAAAGAAGAGCATAATTGTTTCATTGATGAGATTTTGATGAGTATTTTGGAAATTGTATTCACAAAGATGACGTTGAAGTTGGCAGATAAATTTCTGAGATTCGTATGTTCATGTGGCTGAATAAGCGTGACAATTGAGAAAAAATAGAGGATCAATATGGCACTGTTAATAAAATTGTGTTGGCGTTGCTTGAAATATTAATTTAAGGCATTCACAACCATTCTTCTCTATTTTCATGTTGAACTTGCATCAGGAGATTCTGTCTTGTTTTTTGACTTTTGATATTCTTCAATACACAAATGACAGCTCCATGATCCCTCTGGAGGCTCTGATAAAGGTGGAGTGAGACAATACATATGGTACCCACGATCGCAATCATCACAAAAAAGAAGTTGTTCCTGTTGATCAAGATGAATTGAAAAAATTAAGTTTTAAGCAAAGCGATGATAAAATAGTTTTAATTGATACTCACGTCATTGTCTGAAGTTCCACATAAGCCACATGATTTACATTCAATACACTGCCATCGATATTTTTGCACTGCAAGAATCATTTGAGCAGTAAATTGAAGACATGTTGGATGAGCAGATCTGCCACAATCAGAACAGGACACCATTTTTTCGCGTGATCTACTTTTTTTGTTTTCTTCAGAGTCTCCCAGGCAGAAATCACAATAAGGACTTGGAGCAGCTGGGTTTCCACCTTTACCTGAAAAGATGTATTCTTATTATTAATAGTTCGAAGTAAACTGGAACACAGATCTGACACTTTTGTAAATTGAAATCTTACTTGATGATGATTGTTCTTGAGTATCATTCGCAGTAGACCCTTGAATTGGCTGATTTGAATTGTTACTATTGGATGATGGATTTCTGGCACGAGTGCAAGATTTTTCATTATTTTCATCTTCATCAATATTTGATAGAGGAGTACCACTTTTAGAGTTCTTGTCCCCATCAGATGAATTTTGATGACCATGAGCATAATGATAAGTCAAGCCAGGTCGAGTTTTGTAACGAGCATCGCAAAGATCACAAGCATATGGTTTATCAGCATCTTGCTGGTCCGATTGTCCTCTTTTACGTCTAGTTGTTTCTTTCCGTCTTCTTCTTCGTTTGATAGTAAATTCGTCATAATCATCACCGTCCGAAGCGGGTTCATCAAAATCTCCTTCAAATAAATCGATGCTATCCTCATACTCGGCATAATACCAAGCATCTTTCGAGCTTTCCACAAATTTGTCAGAACTATTCTCTGACTGCTCAGGCTTTGTTTGGACAGTTTCAGATCCATTATTATGAGATTCTCCACCATTCTTGTCAGAGGATTCATTGGTTCGATCACGGCAAAAGTAACTTTGGTTCAACAAATAGCCATGTCGTCTTTTTTTCCAACTTTTAGCTGGGTATGTGTACAGTTGACCATAAGTCAAACCAGGCATTCTTTGCCATTTTTGCATCCAAAGGTAACAATCTTTTTGAGCAACACCAGTTTGAGCATCAATAAAAGGTAAACGAGTTTTTCGATCGCCAACCAATTGATTGTTATATTTTGACGAGTTTTCAATGGCATCTCTATATGAAATTTCATTAAGCGCTCTTTTTGTTCAAATGGAAAAACAAAACAATATCAACATCCGATTAGAAAAATTAATGAATTTGTAAGAATAAAATGTTACACTTAGAAACAACCAAATTTACATTGAAAAACCCCATGTAGATACGAATAAAATCTTTTTATCATATTGAAAAAAACTATTCATTTGATTAAAAATCATGCCATAATGAGTAAAAGGTTTGATCGAAGTATAAACAACCTTTTCAGCTGGCATTTGAATAATTTGAAAATCTTAACATAAATCAACATAATTATATTGGTCAATTTGCAATTGAGTGACAAATTGTCAATGAAATTCTGGTCGAATGTCGGTTTTATGTTGACCAATTTAAGCGATGTTTTTTTTTCATTGTGACACGGTTTTTCTGTTCCAATTTGGCTGTCCAAAGTGAAACTGTCAAGTCAAGAGCTTAGCCTGTTATAAACAAAGAAAAATTGTTTACTTACTTTTCAATCTTTTGAATAGTGTGTGGCCTTAAATAAGCCATTACCTGGTGATCAAGTATTACCAATAATCGATCGGATAGTTATCAATAACTATTAATAACACATAATTTATAACAGTTGAAAGAAAAGGAGAATTTCATTTGAAAAGTGAATAATATTCACTGAATATTATTACTGATTATTCAATCGTTAGATGGCAGTTCTAAAGGGCCGGTTAAGCCGGTCTTATCCAATCAAAAAAGAGTTTCTGATGCCCGCCATTTTGCTATTCACTTGGTTTAAATCGATAAAGGAAAGTTAGTTCAACATCCAGATGAAGAGGGCGGTAAAGAGCATTACATAAGCATTGAATAATATTTTTCGTTACTTCTCAGCAGAGGCATTACAATCGGACTATTGAACTACTGGTACATGCTAACTACATTGTATTCTTTGTTTTATCAATTGTTGCCGTAATTCCAATTCAACTCTTTCGTTAAAGTTAATTATTACTGTTAATTCGTTATTAATTTTTTTTGTACTTATAAAATATCAATTAACTAAGGTGAGATTTTATATATTCTTCATAATTTTGGAAGTGATAAATCCAATTAACATCCTATTTTGTTGGTTAAAATTGTGTCTGGTTCCTAACCTCTTTCAAGCCTCTTTCTTTTTAGAATATTGTGGATGCTGGTTAATGCTGGCGCAAACGCCAGCTACCCATACGGTTAATACTGTATAATGTAATGGCCTTCTTCTTACAATTTCTTTAGTCTGTTCATTTTTCCCTTTCATCCATTCACTAAGGTTTTTTTTCAGAACTTTTTCCCCCCTGTCACTGACTTTGATTCATTTATTCTTTCTTATAATAGTATCTCTTTCTCTACCACATCTTACCTTATACCGTGTGACTTGTGTTTTTTAAATGTGGTCCTGCCTTTTTACCTTCAACAATCTCAAATCCTTTGGATTACTCAAATTAAGTGCTTCTTTTTCTACTCTGTTTTTTCAAATCTACAGGTTGTCCATCTTCCATTACTGTGACTTCAATATCAACATAAAGCAGCTTTAAAACAAATTACCTCAAAACTCACTAATTCTCACAAGGCGCAGCTTATTGTCCATTATCATCCACCAAATTCCATCAAGATATATACATACTTATATATATCTATCGTTATAAATTACATACCATTTTATCATATTCATTATTGTTAGTAGGATTATACTAAAGTTGACATAATTTAATCATGCCACAAACAAGAAGCAAGAGAACCGCTACTCCAGTTAAAGACGGACAAATTGATGGTGATGCCATTGAAATTAAAAAGAGTAAAATTGAAAACAATGACTCTGTCGAAGAAGTCTCCGCGTCTACAGAAGCTATCAAAACCAATAATGAAGCTGAAGTAACCAATGGAAAATCTGAAGCTGTTTCTGAAAGTAAACCTGAAGTCGAGGAAGCTGTCGAAAAGAAAACATCCAATGGAACATCTGAGGCAGTAGCTGAAAATGGTGAAGCTAATGGTGACCACTCCGAAGCTAAACCTGAAGTTAAAGAAGATTTAGTCGAAAGCAGCGAATCTGAAAAAGTAGAGAAAGTAGAGAAAGTAGATGGCAAAGTTGAAGAATCAGCAGTGTCAGCAGAAGCTACCTCAAATGAAGCTAATGAAGTAAAACCAGAAGCTGAGGCTGAAAAGAAAGAAGAAACAGTTGCTGAAACAACCACAGTCGAAAGTACTGAAGCAGTTAGTAAACCTGAGGAAGTTGCTGTTAGCGATGACCAAAAGAAGCCAGATGAAACAGTTGAAGAACCAAGTGAAGCTGTTTCATCAAATTAACATTAAGCTGATAAGCGATCTATAAAACCCATTGTTTTCATCTAAATCCACCTTCGACGTATAAATTTACTCTCTATTCTATCTTCAAACTCTCCATTTGAACAAAAAAATTTTCCGAATACAGTTCCTTCATTTCCATTTTTTTCTTTATAATTGTCTAAATTACCGTTGTCATACAATCTCAGTTTATTTACCATTTCTTAAATGAAAAAAGAAAAAGGAAACAAAACTTAAACCAAATCCACGTGGATCAAGCAAAAAACTCAATGCAATCCTTATTTTCCAGCGTTAAACAAAGCTGTTTCAGAGTTGTCCAAAAATTTTCAAAGCTATTGGAATAGTCAGATCTCGTCCGAGCAACACCAAATGCATTACTCTGGTCAGAGGATATATTGATTCGATTATGGACATGACTTTAACTTCGACATAGTAATAACAATAGTAACATCTTTTTGCTTATGTCTATATAAGTAAACAATTTTCTATGCGTTGTAATACATTCTTTGCCATTTCGATGTTAACACCTCTGATTAATACAGTTTGAGCGTTAATAAAGTTTAAACGAGTTTTCCGATCGTTAAATGATTTTCAATCAACGTTGTTTTATTGATACTTCGGTTTGCTATTTCTCTGTACATCTTTTTAGCGCGCTATTATGAATCAATCACTCATGAAACTCAAACCTTTTCAAATTATTCTATACTGAAAATGTTAGAGAATCGTCTTAATTGTAATAATCAATTTTTACCAAAGAGTAGGGTTTACTCTTGAATTTTTACAGCACAACTGTTATCTTAAATCTGGAAATGATTGTTCCAGTCTTTTGAAAGCAATACGGGTTTGGTGTGGGTGAGTGATAGCAAAATACCGGTTATCCACCAGGTATTCTTGATAAATATCAAATAACAATAATTGTCAGAAGCGGAAAGATGGTCAGTAAATTGGCTAATTTCAAAGCAATGAGATAATGATAGTTACTTTTCGTTTTTGAAAAGCGAGCGAAGGAGACTTTAAATTTTAAAACGAGTCATGAGTGAAAAGTCGAATTAGTCTAACTATAGGTAATAAAGATTTACTAAACAAAATCAAATGAGATAATTAGTTGAAATCGGAAAAGGTTACTTTTGTGATTATTCACAATCATTTAATTAGAATAGTTTAAAATGTGTTCATGTTAGGTTCTGACCACATTCACGCCTGATTTATAGTGTTTGCTGATTTAGAAATTTGAGGGCAAAGGTTTAAGTACTTACCGCATCTACTTTTTATCAACTAATCAAACCTCATTAAAAGTTAACAATTGTAATTATTACAGTTTTAGTTTAATGATAAAAACATGTAAAATAGCGAGAAAAAACCGGAAAAGAATAATTTACTCGTTAGATGGCAGTAGAAAAGGCCGGCACGACGCCGGTTCTGTCCAATCAGAGATAAGCTTCTGCTACCCGCCATTTTGCTCACAGTTTTCTTCCATACTCTTGAACCAGCAATTCTTTGTTAAATCAAGTCTACAGTTAAATTTAATAATTACCGTTTAATTACAATTAACTGGTTTTATATTTATTAAAATTCAACTAATCAAGGTGAGATTTCATGAAATGTGTATAATTTTGGAAGTGATAAATCTAATTAACATCCTATTTTGTTGGTTAAAATTGTGTCTGGTTCCTCTCCCTCTTTCACGTCTCTTTTACTTTTCTTTCCTTTTATAATGCAGTGTAGTTATGCTGAGTTTATACTGAATACTCTACAATGTAGAGGCAATATGGAAGCCTTTTCTTTCTTTTTCTCCCCATTTTTTATAAGTAATCATTTTTCCCTTTCATCCATTCACTAAGGTTTTTTTTCAGAACTTTTTCCCCCCTGTCACTGACTTTGATTCATTTATTCTTTCTTATAATAGTATCTCTTTACCACATCTTACCTTATACCGTGTGACTTGTGTTTTTTAAATGTGGTCCTGCCTTTTTACCTTCAACAATCTCAAATCCTTTGGATTACATAAATTAAGTGCTTCTTTTTTCTACTCTGTTTTTTTCAAATCTACAGGTTGTCCATCTTCCATTACTGTGACTTCAATATCAACATAAAGCAGCTTTAAAACAAATTACCTCAAAACTCACTAATTCTCACAAGGCGCAGCTTATTGTCCATTATCATCCACCAAATTCCATCAAGATATATACATACTTATATATATCTATCGTTATAAATTACATACCATTTTATCATATTCATTATTGTTAGTAGGATTATACTAAAGTTGACATAATTTAATCATGCCACAAACAAGAAGCAAGAGAACCGCTACTCCAGTTAAAGACGGACAAATTGATGGTGATGCCATTGAAATTAAAAAGAGTAAAATTGAAAACAATGACTCTGTCGAAGAAGTCTCCGCGTCTACAGAAGCTATCAAAACCAATAATGAAGCTGAAGTAACCAATGGAAAATCTGAAGCTGTTTCTGAAAGTAAACCTGAAGTCGAGGAAGCTGTCGAAAAGAAAACATCCAATGGAACATCTGAGGCAGTAGCTGAAAATGGTGAAGCTAATGGTGACCACTCCGAAGCTAAACCAGAAGTTAAAGAAGATTTAGTCGAAAGCAGCGAATCTGAAAAAGTAGAGAAAGTAGAGAAAGTAGATGGTAAAGTTGAAGAATCAGCAGTGTCAGCAGAAGCTACCTCAAATGAAGCTAATGAAGTAAAACCAGAAGCTGAGGCTGAAAAGAAAGAAGAAACAGTTGCTGAAACAACCACTGTCGAAAGTACTGAAGCAGTTAGTAAACCTGAGGAAGTTGCTGTAAGCGATGACCAAAAGAAGCCAGCTGAAACAGTTGAAGAACCAAGTGAAGCTGTTTCATCAAATTAACATTAAGCTGATAAGCGATCTATAAAACCCATTGTTTTCATCTAAATCCACCTTCGACGTATAAATTTACTCTCTATTCTATCTTCAAACTCTCCATTTGAACAAAAAAATTTTCCGAATACAGTTCCTTCATTTCCATTTTTTTCTTTATAATTGTCTAAATTACCGTTGTCATACAATCTCAGTTTATTTACCATTTCTTAAATGAAAAAAGAAAAAGGAAACAAAACTTAAACCAAATCCACGTGGATCAAGCAAAAACAATACCTTCAACTTAACATTTACCAAGAAATAACGACCAAAAAAGTATACTTGGGAAACAGCAAAGGCAAATTTTTCAATAAGTCATTTTCAACAACTGTTTGAAACTGTATTGCATTCGAAGACTTTCTGTAACCCGTTTAAATAAATAATAAAGAGACATTTTCCTGGTACATAAGTTCTTTTTCCTTATAATTTATGCTGTTCAATTTCATCCAAATTATCAATCAATTAATCAAAATTATTTCCTTTTAAAGCAACATACCGGTTACCTTTTCTTTCTCATTTCTGGCGCTACCATCGATCCAAATAAAATCATCTGCTATTGATAATTATAACCAATATTTGAACCGTTGTCAATTGGGACAATCTATGAATTGTATTTACATAATTATACAAATATCTTATCAATATCTCATTAAATTGCAGAATTGTCAAACATTGGAAGTTGTTCATTTTGAATAAATTAATCTAGAAAAGTCACAAACTATTTGTCACCAATCAAAGTACATGTTATCCTAACTAATTAATGTGAATATCTTTATTTGGTTCAACTCATTCTGACGTATTGTTAAATGGTGATGAGATGTAAGTTTTGCGAATGTTAGAACTTTTGGAATATTATTTCAAGCTTAAATATAAAAAAGAGAAAAATATTGGTATGATTGAAACTTTTTGATGATTTTTACTAGTTTATGATGGGTCCAATAATTGAATGAATAATTTATCAAATATGTAGAGAAAAAAGTGTAAACAGTTGGAATTTAATAGTTTCATCTTTTCAATTGGTATGTAATGAGTAGAAAAATAAATGATTATGTGTATTTAATACAGTATGAGTTGGCTGTTTTTTCCATTCTTTTCTCTTTCCTTTCAAAAAAAAGTTGAATGAAATATTGTGAACAATTTATACAGCCAAGGTTTTGAGATGTTCCAATTTTTTCAGTATCAGGGCAAAAGTAGGTCGTTTGTCGGGATCAAGGTCCCACGATTGTTTCATTATTTCATATATTTCTGATGGACATCCTTCCGGTGCTTCCATTTTGTATCCTTTTTCAACATGTTTGACAACATCATCCAACGGCTGTGCCAATATAGAAATAAATTTAATATTAATCAAATTGAAATAAACAATATGGAATGAGCGTGATAGAGAAAAGATTAGATAGTTCATAAGAAAAAAAATTCTTCCAAAATCAAGGTTGAGACAAGAAAACAAGATATGAGAAAATGTTTTCAACAAATCTGAGATTAACAATACTCACAATGCGAGGATATGGAACCCGACCAAATGAATAAATTTCCCACAGAAGAATACCAAAGCTCCATACATCCGATTTGTTAGAAAATTTATTGTACCTTAATGCTTCCGGAGCTGTCCATTTGATGGGAAATTTTTCTCCCCGAAGGCTGAACGATTCTTCCCTAGCCAAACCGAAATCACATACTTTAGCAATTCCATCTTCGGAAATGAGAACATTACGTGCAGCCAAATCACGGTGAACGACATGCTTTGACTCAAGGTATGCCATTCCAGCACAGGTATGGGTAGCGAAATTGATTTGATCTTTTTTATTAACGTGTAATCGACCTCGGGATCGTAAATAGTCAACCAGGGATCCTTTGGCCATATATTCAGTGACAAGGCAAATAGAGGGACCGTCAAACACAACGCCCATAAGTTGGACCAGATTTGGATGTCGAAGTGATGTCATTAATGAAGCCTCGGCGAGAAAATTTTGCGCTGCTTTACAAGAATCTTTCAATATTTTAACTGCAACTTTCTGTCCACGATAATATGCAAGACGTACATCTCCAAATTCACCGCGTCCTAAAACTTCTCTAACTTCACCAAAATCAAGGTCTTCTACCGGCATAGCCCATCCAGCTTTTTCAAATGCAGAAAATTCAAGTCCTCCTCTTTTAGGAACTGACATTCGTAAACGAGTACACAAACCATCAGCATCCTTGTGATAATGTTCAACTAACTCAGACAACTTGTCAAAATATTCCTCTTCATCAATCGTCACTTTGTTATCCTTGAATATTACCCTATAATGTTCAACTTTGTTGTTAAAGCAAACACAGAGAGTGTAGTCTCCAGGAAAATTAGTGCTTTCTCGAACAAGAAACAATCCATCCTCTCGAGGTTGCAATAAACTTTCGGCTTCTTCTCGTTTGATTTTTCCATGAAACCAAGGCATGGCATTTAATTTGACTTCATGTCGCTGCTTCGATTGCGTATAAGGAAGAGGAAAAAAGAGATAAGATAAAACAGGAAAACAAGAAAGGGTTTGGTTAGATATTTTGTTATAATCACAGGAATTGCAAATAAACAAAATGACAGGACTGATACTTACAGTTAAGCCGTCGTTAAGGCTTCCGACAGGACTAAAATCGTTGTGAACTATTGGCGCACAGTCATTATTATCGTCTGATATTATGGAGAAAAGCTCTCTTGACATTCCTTCTGGTTTCATCTTTTTCATTTTTTGCCTCTGCACATCTCCTTGTTGATTGGATGCTGGTGTTGATGATGGTGATTGGTGTGGTGAACCCATGCCACCCATTATATCCCAAACGTCGGACATGTTCTGTTTAATACACCACAAAAATCGTTTGAGATACACAATTAATAAAAACAAGTGAGGGATGAACGAAAACTATGAAGATTAAGAGATGATTGTAGCTCAATAAAAAAAGTTTTTGAAGACATTTCACATTACGTACATACAGTCAACCCTCTCAAAGTTAGACTTACAGTTTGTTAGTGAGAATAGCAAATGGTCTATTTTGCAGTCAAGTATGCGTATTTTAACCAAAGATCAACCTTTCAGGTAAACCAGAAAGTTTTAAACCTCTGACAGTAATTATATTTCAAACGATAGATAAAATGGTAATTTTTTCAGCTGTTAATGATCAATCAATATTTGCTCTTTTATTTACACCTAATTTCATAATGAAAATATTGATCAAGATACTTTAATTTTGGTTTAATTAAATGCTTTTTTGCAACTTTTCACAACAAAAATGTAAATAAAAACAGTTTCAGAGTCATCTAGCGATTATTTAAACGTCGTACATTTATTGTAACACGAGAAGGATTATCAATAAAATTGTAATTATATTTCGAGGCTCTTCATTATCCAGTTTATTCAACTATTTTATAATCTATGAGAATATCCGTTGAGGAATCATTTTTTCATTAACTGAATCAATAAAATTGTAAAACATAACACTAGACAAAATTGCAGCTAATAAGCAAGACGAAACAATAAAGAGTAGCAACTGTTACGTTGACCACTTGGTCAAACAATTTGCAAATTATGAAAAACGCCGATTCTCATCTGCATCATAAATATTCTGATGCCAGGATTTTGTCTTTTCCTATTCTTATTAAGGGAAAGTTGTTTAGTTAATGAAGCTCATACTGATGATGATGATAGAAACAGGGTCATCAGTTTTTACCCAAAATAGTTTATTTACGAATTTCAAGCGACATGGAAAGAAAGATGATAAATACGAGATGAGAAGATCCAATGAATTAGATTTCAATTTAGGTTGACCCGAGACTGAGGAAAGTAAAATATGATGCAATAGAAAGTTCCCTATTATAAATTATTCATATCTATCGATTATTCATTGATGAAAGTTATCTCTCAATAAACCTACATGTGAGATGAATTTTATGTTCATCGAATCAAATTTATCGAGAGAAAAGTGAAACTTGAATCATTCAGCAATAAGATCTTTTGCTCGCCTAATCAGAGCTAATCATCATTTTGTAGGTATTCATTGAAACCATAAAAAATAATGATTTAATATCCTAATCTTTAGTTGTTGGATGGTTTTCATTTCGACAAATTGAATATTTTGTAGAACAATTCAAAACTCTCAGTTTCTCAACATGCTAATCGTATTCATTTGAAAGTGTAACTCAATACTTTGAAATCAAAAAACTGATACTGTGCGAATGAATGAAAAATTGAAGAAAACAATCATTGCGTCAAGAAATTTCAACATTATAAATAAATTACAAGATGAATTGGACCAATAGTTTTTAGGAGATAATTAACATAAGTATTATTATTAATATTATCATTAATATAGTTATTATCATTATCATTATTCAAAATTTGAGATGAAAAAGTGTTTGTTGTTTTCCTAGTGATTCATATGTCTTGACGTTGGGTTTATAAATTGGTTTGCAGCTTGTCCTAAAGCCAAAATAATCATTATGATCATTTGTTGGTTCTTTTTGTATTTGCGGGGACGAAGTTTAACCAATAATCTGGAAAGATAAAAAATGGCAAGGTTGATCTAGTATTTTTTTAACTATGGCCAAAAACTTGTTGTGTAATTAAATAATGTGTAAATATGAGGCACTGAAAAAGGTTGAGAAGGCTTCAAATCCAGCAATTCATTTTTCCATTCGTCAAAAATCTTCTCAAGATTCCATTGTACCTGTGACACTAGAAAAGCTTGGGTAGTATGCAAAAATGAAAGCCAATGATAGTATAATCAAAGGGACAATTGCACAAATGGATGCCTGAGAAAAGAAGAGAAACGGAAAATTAGTGAAAAATTGAAATAAATAAAATATGAACTGTAAACTAACCGTTCGATTTTGATAAGCAACGAGATCATATTCATGTTTTAAGGTGGTCAGCTCATCTTTTAATTTGTGATTGTCTGCCTTATATTGTTCAGATAGAGATTTAAGTTCTGCGACTTCTTGCTCATATTTTTCCAAAAGATCGGAATCAACCAAAAGACTAGATTCATTAATATTAGTTGTATTTTCGTCAAGCAAGCATTGAGTGTCGGTTGCAACATCATTGACAGTTGTCGATGAAATTTCAATTTCATTTGGCACAATATTGTTATTTTCAGAAACAGCATCATCTTTAAGAGAACAAGGTTCTTCCATTATTACTTCGGGTTTAGTGTCATTTGTTATCACAGACAACATCGAAATTTCGTCTGAATTAGTTGAGCCATCTAAAGACATGTCGTCATTTGATTCTTTTCGAACTAACGAATTTTCATCAGTCATTTCTTTAGATATATCTTCAGTACATTTGCTTTCATCGTTAATGTGATTTGTTACTTCCGATTCTTCATCGATAACTTTCTCTTCTGTAGCTTGAGTGGACGGAAAATAGTTAGTAGAAATTTCAGACTCAACATCCAGCTTTTCAGTCTCAGGCTGAGAAGAGTAGCTTTCTGATAAGCCTTCATCAGGAAGATTTTCAGATTGTAGTGTCTGGTCTGAAATTTCAGATGCTGACAAATCACTGGAATGGATTGACTGCGAAGTATTTGCGTCATCTAGCTTTTCAATGATTGTTTCATCAGTAATAATGTCGTTATGGAAAAGTGCCGTCACTTCATTTTCAGATGGAATCTCGGTTGATGAAACTGTTTCCTCAATATTATTCAGTCCGGTGGACGTACAATGAGTCATAGTTTCATCTAGACTTGAAAATTTATTTAAATCATAGCTAGTGAAATGGTCTTCCATATTTAATTTTGTATTTTCCTCGGGACTGCTGTGCTCAAATGGATCTGTCACTTTATTATAATCAATTTGATTATCAATAACCCCGTTCTCTTTAGGTTTTTTGTTTCCTTCATCTTCAGTTATTTTGGTCGATAATCTCAAGTCATTGGAAATATTTTCGAATGCTTTTGCCAAAGATTTGTATTTATCTTGCATCTCTTGTAACTCTTTGAATTGTTTATCATGTTCCTCGGCTAACTTCTTCATTTCATCCAATAATGAGTCACATGTATCTTTATAATGATCACGCTGTTCTTCAGAAGAGCTCAGCGCTATTTGTAACTCATAATTTTTGGATATAACCAGTAACTTTTCTTGTAAAGCTTTCTGGATTGCATCTTTGGCTTTTGATTCGTATCTTTCTCGATCTTCTTGAAGGTTCATGACTTCTTTCCAAAGGTGAAGAATTACTTCATCAGGCCTGTTGAGGTCCGAATCAAGAAGAGATTTTAGTTTCATTTGTAAAGACTCAATACGACTTAAAAGTATATCCTCTTCAACCATAGATTTCCAACTTTGTTCAGAAGATGCTTGAGCCTTTTGCAATATTGTACTCAGGTTTATTAATTTATTACGTAGAATTTCTTCCCTTTGGCGTGCCTCTTGTAACCAGCTAGAAAGTTGAAGCAAGTTAAAATACTTTACATTTGAATTAAGACCGTGTAAGGCTATCCCTTCACTTGGTTTAGCCTCTGATCCATCAGCATGATAAAGCTTAAGCGTTGCAGATATACAAGGAATTGTTAAATATTTCGAGCTCTCTGTAACATCCACACCAAACTGTACATGATCACCGGAGAAGATTTCTTTGGGCAAGGAGGTCTCATTAGAGTTACTCAAACGAACATTATTCACAAAAGTGCCATTGGAACTTCCCGTGTCTTGAAGGTAAAACTGTAATGAAAAAAAACGGAAACCATTAGAACAGTATACTAAAATAAATTAACTATCGATTCTGAGTTATAGTCTATTATTGGTATTTTATCATTGATGCATTCGATTAACTATTGAAAGATAAGTTGAGTTGAGTCAAGGTGGATGAAGAATGAGACAGTGATGCATTCCGAATGGATCGGAACGTGAGAGATAAGCAAAGAATACTAACCTTGTTTTTTTCATAATAGAGAAGAGCATGGTTACGAGACAATACTTTACAATCAAAAATCCCATTTATTTGAAGTGGTCTACACTTGCCAACAGCTCTACCAATTTTTACAGGCTCATTAAGATTAAGACTTCTATCTTGAAACTGAGCTTTATTCTTACAGATGAGAACTGCTTTTGGATAAGGTGATTTTTTAGCCTCTGAGTCCGGATATTTATAGGATGGTGCAATAGGCGATTCAAGATTGTAACGTTTGATTCTTGACTTTGGGCTTGAGAACTCGAGACACTGGGGTATGAGAGATGCAGTAGGCATTTGTAAAGCAGCAATAGGAGCATCCGATGGTAAAGAAACTGGTATTGATGGCGATGATTTCAATGTATCAGTTGAATTTGTATCAGTTGTGGGTGGTGAGTAAGCAAGAGGTGACAATGATAATGGAGATGGAGGCTGTGTCGATGATGATGATGGCGGTGAAAAAGCATCTAGAAGATCATCTCTTCCCTGCATATTAGACATTCTCTCGGCATTCTGGGCTTGAGTCAGTTTGATAAATGCCTGATGTTTTGTTTTGGCGTAATAGCTCATATCATATCATGGAGTCACTCTAGTACAGCCATTGGATCTATTAAAATAGAAAAAAAACCAAATACATTTATGTCAGAGGTCTTTTATGTTCAACTATGATTTTCAATGATGTGTGATGATACATGAAGAGAACTGTTTTCAAGCAAAATTATAACAAAATGAAACAAGCGCATCAAAAATATGGTTTACCTTTAAGACTCTCACTACATTGGGTCAAATTGATAATAGTATTGTTATTGTTGGTGGAACCATGGTAGAAATATTTTTGTTTTGATAACAGAATAGTGTTTACAAAATTAAACCTAGAATGAAAGATAGAAATAAACACAAACAAAACCAAAAGGCAAAAATGAAGGTTGTTGTTTGATTAATATATTTAGCAACTGTCCATGGTGTTGATGAGGATGAGAAGTTTAAAGGTGAATAGATGACAAGGAAACGGATGATGAAGATGATTAAGACGATGGAGATGATTATGATAAACTGGTAATGATTTAAAGATGATGATGATGATGAAGATGAAGAAAAAGTTGAAAGTAGAAATGAAGAAAAGAAAGAGAAAGATACAACTATTCTGTCTAATGAACACTTAGCCTTAGCCTAAGCTTCCCTCTTTTGGATGAAGATGAAACAAGATTCTCTCTTCAGATTGAAGCTATTTATTTCTTCAATGCATTAATATTTTATGATCTTACCTTGTTTTTTATTGACATTAATTTCACTGTTGATTTTAGCAATCATGTTTCTTGGAAACCAAAATTGTTCATTGGGTTAAGGTAAAATCTTTTTACAGGTGTATTTTAGTCGTTAGACTTCATCAGAATTTCATGTTTAACAGTCTGGTAAAATTCAGCAAATCTGGATCACATGTAGCATTTGAACAAATTTTTAGACTGAAATGGATGAAAAATTGCTTGTTTTCGTTATGTTAAGTTGAAACTGTTTAACACTGCATTCGTAGATAGCATAGCATAGTTACTTGAGATTAAATCTTTTCAAATGATAGACTGGATTTTCAAAATTGAACTATTTTTTTCAACCCATTTACCACACAATCAACTGAATGTTGATAAAAAATTTTCCGATGAGTGTTTGGTGAATCGTAGAAATACTCATGAAACAATTTGCTTCAACCAATTCAATATAGTAAGTGTTTCATAGTGGACTGATTGACAAACAATTTGGCTGTTAGTTAAAAAAAGTCATCTATTATTTCAATATAGCATAGCTCATGCTAGAATCTAATAATTGATGAAAGAATAATGTTTCTAAGAACAGCCATTCTCGAGATATTGAGGCTCAAAGTTTTAAGGCCACTGGCCAAAATAAAGAGAGCTGTTGGTAAATGTGTACCAACAATTTTTATCCAGCTCTTATGGTCATAGCGCAAGGTGCAACCGAAAATCGAAGAGATCTATTGTATAGAAACAGAAAAGATTATTTCCCGAAATAAGTGCATTTTCTGGTTGAGCACAAAGAAACCAACCAGAAAAATTATTTTGATAAAAAATCTGTACAAAAGGCAATATAAGTTCAAACTTCGACCTCGATTTTCTCGAAAACTATGGGTCGGAGAAAATTTTTAATAGCCTTAACTCAATTTTATGCCCCTGCAAACCCACAAGCCAGTGCTCTTAACTCGAAGGAAAAATTTTTTGATACACTCCTTTAAGCTTTAAAATTGGAAGATTACAGGTGACAAGTTGGAAGGAGTAATTATCGTAATGACAAACAATACCTTTATCAAATATAATTTCATTGATGAAACCAGCTTATCAAAATTTGCTGATAATACATATCAATTAATTAAACTCTTATTACAGATAAGTGATAAACAATTTTAACCAGAAAGTAGCGCAGCATCCAATTTGAAACAATCGAGGACTTAGTATTTTATTAAGCCCTTGATTGCCAACTCAAATTAATAAAACAGCTAATAAACCAGTTTTTAACACCAGAGACCTTGAAGCATAAATTATTTTTTAATGTCCATCTATACTGACTCTAATTCAAAAAATTAAAAGTCATTTCCATAGACTATTTGCTTCCAAATTTCACAGTGGAAATATCTTTCATCAAATTTGGTTGAGTTTATCTGTTTGGTTGGATTTACTTCGAGTTGATGAGGTAAGATTTTACCAGTATGACTTTGCCTAATGTACGGAGACCAGTTAAGTTTACCACTATGAACAAATTGTTTCCAAATAGAGATAATTTGTTCAGTTTGAATAACGTCTTCTTCTGTGACTTTTTTCTTGAGAAGTAATGGGGTACCAAATACATAAAGCAAATCAAGGCCATGTCTTGGTCCAAAGTTGCTGTTGAAAATCAGTTGAGGTTCCATGGAGCTGAAAATTGGACTTGCATAAGTATATTCTAGAGTATAAACAGTATTTGTGTCCATAGTTTTCTCGGCAAACCAAATTGAAGGACATCGGATAAAGAGATCGCCCAGGGCATGAACAGTTGCTTTCTCTGCGTCAAATGAATTTAGGTTGTCAAGTAAACCCGAGAAATATGTTTCGTCAGTCAATTTGACAGCTTCTGATGAATGAAGACGATTTACTGTTGTTTTGAGAGCTTCTCGAAAACCTTTACTTTTATCATACCGCATGTGGGCCAAAATAACGGACCCTTCATCAACCAAGGTTGTGACAAGGATTGGAAACCCAGATGGAAATGAACCAGATAAAAGACGACGATCTGCGTCGGCTTGTGAAAATTCACCTGTATCTACTAAACATCTTGGTGCTCCATGAACGCTGCTGTGTTCTGTTTCCTCACTCATGTAAGCTTCCATGAGGCTTTCGGGTGTAGCCGATCGAAGACATGATAAAATTTCTGGTTTAGATAAATGGTTAATGGATTCATCAGGTGAACAACCTAGAAATTTGGAAATCTTTCCCGATCTTATCAAAGCTGCACCAATATCTTCATTCAAACTAGTTTTTGTAGCTCCACTTTGTAAGATCATTTGTTGGAAGAGTGGACGATTTTTTTGTCTCATAAACTGCAAAGCTACAGAGATTGATCCAGCTGATTCACCTGAGAGTGTTATCCTGCTTGGATCACCACCAAAATATTTAATATTATCTGAGATCCATTCTAAAGCCAAAGCCTGATCTTCCAATGGTAAATTGCCAGGAGCTTCATCTGAATTGGTAAATAGACAACCAAACACTCCGAGACGATATCTTACAAGAACAACAACGAAATCACCTAAAGCTGAAAGTAATTCTCCATCTGATATTCGAGGATCTCGAGCACCATCAAGTATAAAAGCTCCGCCATGGATGTAAACAAGAACAGGTTTCAATTGGTCTGAGCTTAGATCAGCAGGCGACCAAATATTTAAAATCAAACAATCCTCTGTTTCGTTTACTTTAAAAGGTGAGGTAATAGCCAGATACTTGGCTGGCATAGAGTAGCAAACTCGAGAGTTGCGAACTGCTTTGTAAACTTCATTGGATTTCTTTGTTATCGGAATAGGCTTACGAAAACGGTTGTCTCCGATTGGTGGTTCAGCATAAGGTATATTGTAAAAAACATTCAATTTAACACCTTGAACTGTTTTCTGGACTCCTTTGATTTGTCCTGTGGATATGCTAACAATTGGATCTGCACATTTTACCAAAACTGGTTCATAGAAACAGATTAAAATAAAACTGATTATTAATTCAGGGATATGAAGGGAAAACAACATGATGATTAGGAGCGGTGGCAACAGATGACCAAAGAGATACGCGATCAATCTATTGCTATGGTTGAATAGACTAGTGACTAACAAACCTTGTTTTAAATCTGGCTTGGTGTCCTTGCCATGAAGCAAACCAAACAAAGAAAAGTAGAAAGACCTGTTACATCTGATGCGTTAGTGAGAAGGAAAAAACGATTAAAAAGAGTCTCTGGTGTTTAATCATGTAATCCAAAGAGTTATACTCTTTGATGTAATCATTGTATTATCTCATAGTAAACTAATATAAAATCTAGATCAAATGAAAAAACGCTTGAAATTATTTGTCACAATTGATTGTTATCAATAATAAACTTGAAACATTTATCAACTTCTTGAGCCAATTCTACACCAAGTTAGTTCGTATCAAAGGGTTACTCTTTGGTTCTTATTTTTTAGAATTGATTATGATAGTTGGAATGAAATGGAAGGGGTAAATTGAATAGAAATACCAAATTGCCTTTACCATTCTAATTAACTTTTGATTACTTTATGACTATTTCAGTCAAGTAAAAAAGAGTTGAGGCTCTTGTTTATTCCTGTCAAGTCACAACTAAATATTATGTTATAGCAAATACAAGGAAACAATGCAATTTTCCTTTTGATTATTTTCCCTTCAATTAGTTAAGTTTTTATGATCATTGCTTTTTACTGGTTCCAGAAATGATTTGGACATACTAGGCACAATTTAACAAAAAGTTGGGATAAAATGACTTTTGATTCACATTGAGAAAACAATGATTAATCTAAAATTTAGACTGTTTGTAAGATTTATAGCTTTTTATTAAGGATATAAAAAGTATGAACAGTTTTCGAGTCATCAGCGTAAATTTAAGAAAATATTAAAATTTTTAGTAGAAAATTCAAATTGAACAAAACTTGTACTTAGCTCATACTTTTAACAGAAAATTTTGTAAAATTTAAGATTGACAACTAATTCAACTGGAAACAACGATTGAATTTTAAATGAAATTTTACCTAACTGTTGAGGAATATGATCATTAGTATATTGATCAGTTTGAAATGAATGGATTTGGTATTTGTTCCATTCCATCAACTGGACAAATGACAACTACAGATGGACCTTTGCAAACAATTAATCCAAGTTCCCTAGTGTTTTCCGTGATTTTTAGAGGATCCTCTGGATCTCTTAAAAATTCTTTAGTGTTGTCCAGAACTAGATTAAGTAGAGGATCAAAGCCTTTCAATATACCAATAGCTTCCCGGCCTCCTTGAAATTTAACTCTCATAGGTTTATTCATGAATTTAGACAGATCAACGATTGACTCCTTTTTCCTTGGTAAAGCGGGTCCACTTTTACCGTCACCAGTTTTGATTGCCGTGCCTTCCTTTACAATATGAACGAAAATAATTTATCGAAAATCAATTCATAGTAAACAAAGAGAAAAGACTTAACACATCGTACAATAATCGAGAAAAAACATGATAAATAATAATACATACCATGATAAATTTAAGAAATATTTCCGCAAGAGCACATAAATTAAACAATATTAAAGTAAACGGATAAACTAAATGTAAGGCAAAGGCAATTATTAATTATTAGTTAACTACAATTTGTAATTCGATTTAAAAATAAACAAAATCATTCAAATTCACATGTTACCAACGGTTTCCACTAGAGAACACTTTTGGGGGGCTTTTTGAATTAGAAAAAATGAAATGGATCAGGATACATGTGAACAACCAGGCTTATCAATTAAGACAAATTCAGTATTTGCTTTAGTTTCAACAAATTTGCATCATTTTTTGGAGAACTAGCTATGGATCTGAACATGTTCTCTTAATTTGGTATTATTTGATAATATAATAAGATATTATTATAAAATGAATCTTTCCTGGTTAAGAATAAGTGATGGATGAAACCCATTTTCAATATATTTTTTATATTTTCTTACATTTTCTTGTTAGTTTAATATTAACAACAGCAACAACAGCTTAATTGATAGGGCAAATGCATATTCAGTGACAACTGTTTTACCGGCAGAAGTTTGAGCAGCAACAAATTCATTCTTTTTTCTTCCAGGCAGATAATTGCATGTTTTTGAAATATATCAAGTTCAATGGATATGTGAATGCTGGTGATGGTATTCACTCTGAAAATGGTGGTAACTCTCGATCAGCGTCTAATATTTCTGCTATTTCAGTTGATTTAAAAACACAGTCTGCTTTTAAGGTAAATTTTTCACCAAAGAGATACAACTGATGCCATTCTGGTTGTATTGTGGTTTCAGTTGCTCTATTCGTTACAGAAATACTTAATGGTAGATTTATAGGATTGAAACTTAATCATGTTGAAAATTTATCACTATTACTCGCTTATTAGAAAATAATAATTTGAGTCTAAAGTTTTAGACCAACTCAAAGTTTACAGAAATTGTTCAACTTCAACATATTTATTTACATTGTTTATTCAACTTTTTAGATTACGTCACATTCGATGTTGTGATATATCGAGAAGAAAATATCGATATTTCATCAATATCAGATACATATGTATCATATTAAAATGAATTTGGGAAGAATGACTGTTGTTACTGTTGTAAGTTAATTTCAATCATTTCATGTTGAATTGTGTTCCTTTCCTTTATTATTATTTTACGGTTGATGATTAATCGCAATTGGCTATGGCGAAGAAAGAAAAAACAATATTAGATCTCAATGAGGATGTAATGTTTGAGATACTTGCACACATAACCAATATAAGGGAAGTTCTTCGTTTGAAGTCAGGTAAATACAACTTTATTTATTTCAATTTTTCTCATTATTTCCTTACTAATTAAATTATTTTATAATTCTTTTTCTTCATCGTGTTACTATAGTGTGCAAAAGATTTGATTTCGTGGTTACCAAATATGTAAATTTCTGTCCGATCAAGATAATGCTTCCTCGTCATATTTATTACCCGGCAGAGTTGGTATTGCCCCGTAAGATGGTTGAGCCTCGCTCTCATAGGCTAGAAATTTATTTAATACAAATATTATCGAATTGCAAACGTCTCAGTCAACTCAACACTGTAATGTTCACCAATTTTGTCTGGTGGAGCCTATCAAATCTTGATGGACCGCTTCCTAGTCTAGTCAATTTAGACGTAAGAACATCTCATCCAACGCTGAGCAATTTAGCGCTGAATACGCTTTTAAGAAAGTGCATAAATCTGGAAAGATTAGGACTTTGGGAATTTTCTCGTCTTAATATAAACCTCAATTATATTAGCTCCACAATAACGCATCTTGAAATCAAAAATCATAGTAGTGATGCTGCTGTCCTTAGGATCCTCCAAAGCAAAGGACAACAACTTAAACATCTCAGGATTGAAAACTCCAAGTTCAACACAGCAAATACATCTCGTGTGGATAAAATCTCCAATGAAAATCTTCATCTTATACTTGCTTACTGCCCAAATCTTGAATGTTTGAACTTGATCAACTATATAATGCCTGGTGATTTAGGATGTATTACTGGCCTCAAAAATTTCAAACAGATTGTTCTCGACTCTCCAAAATCGGACTATCGATTTTCTAACAGTGCAGTCATACAAATATTATTGAACAATCCAGGTCTTACTCATCTTACTATCCCGATTCCTATTAGTGAGTTTTTGGAATTTATAAGAACCTGCCAAATGTACTGTCCAACGCTACAGTATCTTGATTCTTTGACAATCCAATTATATGACGAAATAACCATGGATGCAATAATGAAAATTTGGGCTAGATTTCTTAATTTGTATGAGTTGAACAAGTGTACCAAACATAAATTTTTAACTTCTCGAAAACAAACGATGCCATTTGGAATTTGATCTAGAAGTTCCTGATGATGGTCGTCATGATGGCACGTTCTCTAAATTCATCTATACCAAAAACTCACCAGACTTGAAAACTTATTAAAGGTTTTCATTTTTTTTCTATATTTGTTGCTGGAGTGAAACTATCTTCACGTTTTTTATCTTATCAATTCTTAATTCTCAACGAAATCAAGAGTTGATTCCCATTCATATCTAATGCATTTCAAGAAATGTTAAGTCCATTGATTGAGGGTATAAATTATTTTGTTTAATAAGCAATATAATTGGATGCAAACAAAAGCCAAGACAGACATTTCCCATCATATATCACGATCTGATGGAGCTTCTCTTCCTTGTGATGCCACAAATCTTTTCAACAAGTTTGTCTGTAAAATAAGTTTGATTGAGAAAAAAAGATTCATCAGTAAAAAGTTTACCTTGTTGTAATAAAATTTCAATTTTTGTGTCTTAAACTTACTCGAATTTTAAATATCATGTTGATGAGATGAAAATGGATCTTTCAATAATTTATTTCAATTTTTTATGAATTTGATTGCACTATCGATCAAACCAACAAAAGCTGGAGATGGCTTAGACGGTCTAGACAAAAATTCAGGGTGAAATTGTACACCAACAAAATAAGGATGGTCTTTCAGTTCTGAAATTTCCATCCTTTTATCATCGGGACTTCGCCCTACAAAAATCATACCAGCATCCTCGAGCCGAGATACGAAATCAGGGTTGACTTCGTATCGATGACGATGTCTCTCTTCAATTATTTCTTTGTTATATAAACTTTTCAGAATCGATGTTTTGACGACAAATGTTGTTTTCTTTAACCCAAGTCGCATTGTTGCACCCATCCGACCCATATTATGCTCAGGCATATCTATAATAATTGGATTTATAGTTTTTGGATCAAATTCAATTGAATTTGCATCGTTAAGTGCAAGTACATTTCGAGCAAATTCGACTGCTTGTAACTGAAAACCCAAACAAATGCCCAGACAGGGGATTTTATTTTCTCGGCAATATTTTATGGCAGAAATTTTTCCATAAACTCCTCTTTGGTCAAAACCACCAGGAATAATGATTCCACTGCGAAATAAAAGAAAAAATATTATTAGATTGAATCAAGACAATTTGGATGGGTTAACATACCTGGCTTCCTTCAAGTTATCCCATGCAGTATTGAATAAATCAATATCATTTTCTTTTTGATCTTCTTGTAAATTTGAACTTTCAATGAAAATCCATTTTATTTTGGCACCTAAAGATGTGGCTGCGTGCTCAGTTGCTTTGAGCACTGATGCATATGCATCATTTGATTTGGTGTACTTCCCAACTAAGGCAATTTTTAAATTTAAATGGTTTGTCTCACTGGCCTTCAGCAATTTGTTCCATCGGGAGAGATCTATTTTAATATTTTTATCCAAGTTGAATTTGTTTATTAGAATATCGAGAATTCCTTGCTCTACCAAGTGCAGAGGAACACGATATAAAGCCATATCAGGCACTGAAATAACTTTTTCATTCGTTAAAGTGCAGGCAGCTGCTACTTTAGAGTGGGTAGCTGGAGCTAAAACATTATGAGATCTACAGATCAGCTAGAAAAAGAATAAAAAATTACAATCAAAAATTTTTAATACATGTAAATCATAAATATAATAGAGTTAAAAACTTACCAAATCTGGAACAAGACCATAAGATCGCAGAGATCCAACTGATCTTTGTGTTGCCTTGGTCTTCTGTTCATTATGAAATTCAATTATTAAAGAAACGTGAACACATAAAAAATTTTGTGGTCCAACTTTCAACTGAAATTGCCGGAAGGCTTCTATGAAAGCCATTGATTCGATGTCACCAATTGTACCTCCAAGTTCAATTACACACACTTGTGGATCTATTTCTTGTTGATAATCATCGAAGATTTTCTTGCACGAAACACTTGTAACCCAATTCTGGATTGCATCCGTAATATGAGGCACAAACTGTACAGTTTGTCCTAAATATGCACCATCTCTTTCGCCGGCACTAACTTTTTGAATAATTTTTCCTGTTGTAATGTTGTGTTCCGATGTCAGTCGTAAGCCTAAAAATCTTTCATAATTTCCAAGGTCCAGATCAACTTCACCACCATCGTCCAACACATAAACCTCACCTGAGAAGAAAGAAATAAGATTAAATTAAATATTTTAAGATAATAAAAAGCAAAATACAAAACAACTTACCATGTTCTGATGGGGAGAAAGTACCGGCATCAATGTTAACATAAGGGTCGATTTTTATGACGGTGCAGGCTAAGCCTAGGCTCTGACAAATCACCCCGATTGATGATGAAATTATTCCTTTGCCAACCCCACTAATGACACCACCAGTTACCAAAATATATTTCATTTTTTAACTTAAAAAAGAAGAACAAATCAAACTAGAAAATTGAAATTTGAGCAGTCAAAACACAAGTTAAATTGAAACAAAAACACTTGTTCACTCGAGTTTTATGCTTTTTACACTGCCATCTGTACATTAAAATGTGCAGAGAGAGAAGAAAGTTGCTTGAGACTAGAACTGCCTCGAGGAAGATTAGAGAGTAAAGGGGTTAGCTAGGGCAAAAAAAGGCTTTCAACTTGGACTTGAAACATTGTTTGTTTTGCAGATTTAGACTTTACCCTTTTTGAAAGATATTAGTATTTCAGTTGAATGTTTATTTAAAAAATTCCAATAAACTCTTTCTACCCGGTTTAGACCAGTACACTGAAGATTTTTTTGAATGCCACTTGTTAACGGATGAAGATCCCATTCACATTGTTTATTTTGCTTGCAATGCAACATCTTAATTTCCCACTCATATCAAATTTCAAGAAATGTTAAGTCCATTGATTGAGGGTACAAATTATTTTTGTTTAATAAACAAAATAATTTGATGCAAGCAAAAGCCGAGACAGATATAATTTGCCATCATATATCACGATCTGGTGGAGCTTCCCTTCCTTGTGATGCCACAAATCTTTTCAACAAGTTTGTCTGTAAAATAAGTTTGATTGAGAAAAAAAGGATTCATCAGTAAAAAGTTTAACTTTTTGTAATAAAATTTCAATTTTTGAGTCTTAAACTTACTCGAATTTCAAATGACTTAATAACCCGTGGATCAGATAAATCTGCATCTTTTAAATGTTCAGGAATAATAACAATACATTGAATCGGTTTTTTAGAAACTCCTTCGCTAAGTCGATCCCATCCAGAATGAAATTGCCAATCACGAGTTTTGTATTTATTAGCGATGGTTTGGTTGGATTTGAGAATGAAAACTATTGCTGAGAAGATGGCATGATAATGAGCGGGCCCTTCTTTGTATATTATAAAATCACAACCGAATTTGGTTCCACTTTTTACAACCCATCCTTTACTTCTGAAATAATGGTAAGCAGCATAGTATCCAGCAAATTCACTTTTATCAGTAGGGCAGTGAAGGGAACAGAATTTAGCCCAAATCTGTGTTAAATTTAATTTAGATCCATTCAATGAATCGGTGACAGTCATACAACCTAAAGCGTAAGCTAAAAAAAATGTTTCTTCAAGAGAAAGTCTAAGTGTTTCGCGAGAATCAGCTGGGCTCACATTCTTGATAGGTTGATAGGTTGATTGGATAGGAATTGGTTCTATTGGAAATGATGATGATGATGGCGATGATGGAGATGGTGATGATGATCGTGAAGTTGGCGGTGTCTTCCTGTAAAGATCATCAATGATGCTGCCGTGATCGGGACGCATAGGGAAGGCTGCATCTAAAGATGCTTCTTGAGAACAAATGTAAGCATTCTTTTGCTTTTTACGTTGTCTTATTATATCAGCGACTTCAGCTGTCGGAGCATTGTTCGATAATGAACCCTTACCAAAGAATCCATGATAATACAGAGCTTGCATGGAACATTCCTCTTTTACCTCACAACACCTTTCCCCATAATTGATATAACAATTGAAATAAACAACTGAGAAAATCTTGTTATCTAAAGGATATTGTACTTGGCCAGACGAATTAATTAAAGGAATTGGATAAGGTAAACGTTTTTCTTCCTTCACTTGCACATAATGTAACCGTGCTTTACGATCACTTTGAATATAAGGGACTTTATTAAAGGTAGACATGGCATTGATTAAAATGGTGTAGAAGGTGCCTTTAGAAGGTGACAAAACTAATTATGTTTAAATAATTCCACACTGTTGAAATTTTGCGCTTTTGCAACTGATAGATAATGTGAACATGCGCTAACATCAATTTACTTTTCTCGAATCGAGAATCTCGATTATCAACCTGACAGTGTTTAAAAAACACAATTTATCGTTAAGATATTATATGCATCAACAATAGAAAATCAAGGATCAATTTGAAATGGTTTTAATTTATTTATTTAATGAAATCAAAATGAAATGACTTATTAGTTATGACAAGATTTTGTTTTGTGTTTGCTTTAAAAGTGAAGAAAACTTAAACTCGCTGATTTGCGGGAATGATCTTTTTTCTGTTGATCCATTTTGCTGCTCTTTTTGTCGATTTTAGTAGATTGGAAAGGAAATTAGCTAATATGAGGTAATTTTTAGATGTAAGGATGGTCAAAATACAAAAGCCGTAACAGTCTAAATTGTTGAAATTTCAATATGACCAAATGACCAATGAAATGTGATAATCTTTGTTCCACTTCGACAAGTTAGTTTTTACAAAAAGTGTGTTCAACCTGTCAATTCTGTGACCAAATCTTATTAGAAATGAAGATTGGTTGATTAAGGTGAGTTCATTGACTCACTATTGATGATAACAAAAAAATGAGACGCACAGCGATAATCTTTAGTCAATGAAAAATTACTTCTCAGTATTTTATAAGTCATTAAGGATAGAAATTAAGGATAGTTTACGATGGAGCAGACTGGATAGATTTTGAATCGTTAACGAATAATTGCCTCAAGAAATGAATGAGATTTGTAATTAATGGAAAGTTACGTGTCGTCAACCTTGGTAGAGAAATTCTTGTAGAGAAAGGTCACAAAAGTGGAGAAGAGAGCATAGAGTTTGCGATGAAGATACGTAGATTATATTGATGAAGCAAGATTAATCTGGGTACCGAAAACTGGTATGTTGTTAACCCATAAGATTATTCCTTAGTGATTGGAGTTTCTTTTTGTGAATTATCTTGATTAGATTCCTCAGAATCTCCAACACCATTGACCAAAGGTTTATCCAAACTCGTCTTTATACCTTCATTGATCAACTTAGAAGCAAGTACGGTACGCATTTCAGCGGGAAATTTGCTAAGCTTGTACTTTAGAAGAGAATCAATCAATGAATTAACTACTTCCACTGCTTTCTGTGCATCTGAATCATTTTCTATTTTATAGCTGGTAAAAGTATCAAGAACACTTGGGCCATTGCTTTCTGGTTGAGTCACTTGTTCGTGAATTTCTTTGAGATTTACTTTTTTCGTAGGACTAACGGATACATTAGCTGGTATTTTGGGTTTCTCATTCTTGACGGTCCATCTTTTTCTTCCATCAGCCTCTTCTATTTCTTTAGCTTTTGATTGGGCTAGAGCCATTGTTTCTCTTGTTCGCTCACTAAAACTCCAAGCTTCCAACGGACGTGCTTTTTTCTACAAAATTAACATTATGATAGTTTTATCTTGCATAAATATAAACTGAAAATTAACAAATAATAAAAAATCTACTCACAATGTAATTGACCCTGTGTTTGAAACCAATTACATGATTGACAACTGTTGCTGCATTGTTGAAAACTTTGCACAATGTGCACTCATAGAGTCTCATATCTTCATTTTCAGGATCAATGTACTCGACAATTTCTTCCAAACCTGGAATTGAATAAAAGATTGATTAATATATGTTTACATATTTAAATTAAACCATATCTAAATTAAAATCATATAAATTTACCTATTACAGATACTTTGACCAATTTGAGCTGCTCATCTAGAGTTACTTTATCTGAAGCTGGTCCATCAAGCTTGTCTTTTTTGGCCTCTTCTTCCTTTTCTTTTTCAGCTTCTGCAAAATAAATCAGCCAATTCATTACAATTAATATAAGCGACGGCTCAAATAAAATATAGATTCGAACTTACTCTCAACCTCCGCTTTGTGAGTTTCGTAAAACTAAGAAACGAAAAAGAATACGAATAAGTGAAAGGTGTCTAAATTTAAATTGGTTAAATCTTACCGCTATATGTCTTAGACTTGTTATGTGAGGATCAATAACTTTTGTCGAATTAAGCGGACTGTTGCACAGCTAAAAAATAAAACAAATTAAAAAATTTAATTATACTATAATCAAAAATGGCAAACGAATGACAAAAAGTAAACTTATCATACCAAACAATAGTAAGCTTCTCCACCAATACCATTCTTGAGTCGAACCTGTTGCTCGACGTATTTTGTCTTCTGTTCATCGGTTAATCTTTTCAATTCCTCTTTACGAGCTTTTAATACACTTACATCAGCTGTTGTAGAATAAAAAATGATTATTTTAAATTTTTAACGAAAAATTCAAAAATTTAATCGCAATATATGCAAATATAATATAACTTACTTATTTTATCTGTTTTCATAACAAATTTCATGTCAATGCCTTGCAGTTTTTCATTAGGTTCGGTCATATGCTATGGAAAAAAAGGATATTTTGAACAGAAAATTAATTTGAATCCAATGCTTAACTATAATATTTAGTACCTTCTTGTGTTTGGGGCTATCAATGTGACACTCAGCAGTAATCAGGGAATTGCAGAACGCGTCACAATAATAACAATGAAATGAGTTTCCATTGCTGTCAGGAGTCGGAAGTAAACCACTTTTCTCCAAAGATTGTAATTTTTCAGCAGATGGAGGTGGCGGTTTTGGTTTATCTAATGTAGGTTTAGTTCCTCCTTGATTACGCTGTTGAGTTGCTGGGACAGGTCCTTTATTAACATATTGCCTGGGAGTACTTGGTTGAAAGTTCTGTTTGAAACGTTTGTTAGACTGTTCTTCAAGAAATGGTCCAGAATCGGGATAGCCTCCTGGTCCACTCGAAAATAAGGGACGTTTAGCTGAAATTAAGAATGAACAAACATTTATTAAGTTGAGCTTAAAAAACGAGGGCAGATATGACAGCTCAGTAATGAAAATGTGTTCAATGATGAATTCACTAGATGATTCAAAGATGATAAATTAACTATGAACTACTAGTTCCAAAACAACACCTATACTGAGTTGTTATATTGGTGAAAGAAAATGAGGCATCAAGGGATGAACAGACTGATTAATTAAACAAACCTTCAAACCCGCTAAACATTGGCGGATCTTTTCTGATGGCGCTATAAGAGCCGAAATTGTTAACATATTTCGGTTCTGGCGTCATTTTGTGGTCATTAAAAGAGATGCCTAGGTATCCAGGACCTCTGTTCAAATCCAAAGGGTTTTGAGGTGGACCGGTTCTCAGAGCAAAAGAATCATTTCTAAAATTTGGTGAGTTTTGTATATCAGATCGATAATATGGTGAGTCATTGAAAAATTGTCTTCGGAAAGCCATTGAATTACTGCAGGGCTAACAATCAAACGTTAAGTTAACAATGAGATAAAAGCAAAAAATGTAATTAGATTAACTGAAAAACTGAATTAAAATATAAACAATGTGAAGCGCAGAAACACACACACAGACAATGAGGAGAAAGAGGTAGAAGTGAAGCAGGAATTTTAAAAATGATAGTCACGATTGATAATATTTTAAGGTGATGAATAATTATATTTACTGAAAGAGTATAATTTACTGTTGAATTAGATCGGAATTAATTATATTAAAATTATCGAAGAAAGAATTGCATGAAATTCTATGTCACAAAAGTAAGAAAATACAGAAAGATAGACAGAGCAAAAAATAGAAATAGAAAGAGGGGAAAGACGTTTCTCCAAAAAAGATGGAAAAGAGCATATGGAGGGAAAGAAGATAACTTTCAAAAATCAAACAAATATATTTTGAAGTATTTTGACTTTTAATCTGAAAAACCCTCTATTTTACAATTTGTTTGAACTTTTCAACTTGCGAAACTCATCTAAATTGTTGATTTACTATTTAGAACAATCTTTAAGCACTTCTAAAAGGCTAATTTCCGAAAACAGTTTGATTAAAAGGGGCTAAAAGGTTGAAGAGTCGCTCTTTGATTTTATCAATTTTTAGGTCAGAATACTATTTACCGATGCTTATGACTAAATTGAGACGGTTTAATACCAATACTTGTAGTTCAATTTTAATGAAAATTAATTTTATTGAATTATTCAAGGTTGAAAATGGCAGCATAAGTCCAGCTGAATTACAGTATGCATGATAATTTGAAGATTATTGTACAGATTTAGATACAAATAAAAAATAAATGATTGTAAAAATTTTTGCAGGCAGAAAAAGTGAACAGAAAACGATAAATGAATTAATGAGTGAAAGTATTGATAGAATGTGAAGCGATGTAAGCCTATGTCGGCGTTTGATGCATTGATGTTGTTATTGCCGAGTAGATTAGTAACTTTATTCGTCTAATAGGCCATATTTTTCAAAATAATTTACAACTCCAATGGAAGCTTCTTCGGTAAAGTCTGAAACGGTTGTGTGTTTTCGTCTTGAAGTTCCTTTGCCTCTTCTGAGATTATAGTCTTCTCCTTCGGATAGACTAGGTTTTTTAGGTAAATCTTGTCGATTGGATTTAACATCAGATCTATCCTTTTTGAGATATTTTTCAGCTAATTTGCTGATGATGTCTGCTTCAAAATTAGCTTTAGACGATGGTCGATTTCGATCATCTCTGGATGGTGAGGGACTACTGTGACTTTCACTTTGCTCACTACGACTATTAGATATCCTTTGATTCTCTGTCGAGCTGTTTAAATTCTGTAAAAACTTTTCATAAAAGTCCTCCTTCACCTTAGATCTGGATCTAGGCAATTCACTTCTGTCTGATCGACTTTCACTTTCAGAAGTAAGCAAACCACTGTCAGATGCTTTCTTTTTCTTGTATCTTTCTGACATTTTGCGGTGAGTTGAACTTTTATCTCTACGAGATTTGGTATGGAAACTGGTCATTGTTCCGACAGATCTTTTTTCTGGTTCCTTTTTGGTTTGTAGACTCAGAATCATTTGAAGTTGTTTTGTCATTTTGTCCATTTTTTCTTCTTGTCTTTTCAAAAGCAAAGTCAACTCGGCAAACGAATCCTTGTGCTCGCTCCTTGAAGAAGTTTTGGTGGGAAGATCATAATCGATACTGAGATCAGGAACGGAAGGTTTGATGTTTACCATCTATGTTGAGGTGAAATTTCACAAAAAAATGAGAAAATGCATTAGAGCTTTGTTGATTAAACAAGATTTATGCAAAAATGGTTCAATATTTAAATTCTCAAGTAAACTTTAGTCAAAACTAATAGGCAAGAATAGAAATATTAAATAATAAATAAAATTATGTCAAGTTAGATCAGCCATGACACATGCAAAGAGTCAAATGAGTTTCAAGTCAACTGATTGATCAACAAATATAATGAGAAACACAGAGTGCAATCAATAATTTGCAAACCTTAATTCAAATTAATTAAATAAAATTCAAGTCTATATCAAAACAATAATCATTACATTTTTGTTGACAACTGTCAACAAAGGCGAAAAGGGGCAAGCAAAAATACTTACCCTGGGCGGTTCTGGTATGGGCACTGGTAGTTTGAACAAAGTATCAGTATTTGATTGTTTAATATTTCTTCTTGATTTCATGATGGTTCTTTATGCATCGGTTATAATCAAAATAGAAATTAATTGTCAAAAAACATGAAATAATTAGTTTACATTTAGAGATAAACAAAATTTACTTTCACACATTTTAAAATTTATAAAACGTTTTTATGCAAAAATTGTGCGCTCTCATTGGTTCATCGGAAACCAATAGCAACCAAAGTCAGGTGATCAAGTTTTCACAACAAAACCATTTATTTTTCATTTCTTTATTTGATTTAATTGTAACATTGTCAATAAGTTAATTATGAGTGCTTTAGCTGGCCCATCTTCATCATCACCATCAACTTCATCATCTTTGGCTGATAAAAGACAACAGAGGTTACAAAAATTGAAAGAACTCAATAAAAAAAGAGTAAGTCTTATTCACTTTTCACATCTTTGACGTATTGTTTATTTCTTAATTTACTCAAATTTAATAAATTTATTGCTTGTATTTTACTCTCTAGGTTGAAGCTATTCGTCAAAACCACCAAGAAGTTGTCGAAGAGTACAAAAAGGCGCAATTACCCAAGAATTGGGCAAAGAAGCAAGAATTTGTTGATTATAAGCTGCAAGAAGAAATTGAACGAGAGGAAGCCAAAAAGAAAGGCCTAGATCATGATCGACTGAAAATGTTAAATATACAAGCAGATGAAGCTGAAAAGGCTGAAAGGAGAAGACAAGCCAAGAAGAATGTTGACCCAGGTTTCTCAGGATATGAAGCTGCAACGGCACGACAATACAATCGTCAAGTTAAAGATATCAAACCTGATATGGAAGAATATGAAGAAGTTAAAAAGACTCTTGGTGATAAAGCCTTTTATCCTAAATTAGAGGACATGTTTGATCCCGCTTTTAAGGACACTAAAGAAGGTATTGATCGTATGGTCGAAGATTTGGATAAACAATTAGAAAAACGAGGCAAATATAGTCGAAGAAGGAGATATGACGATGATGCTGACATTGATTTCATTAATGAGAGAAACAGGAACTTTAACAAAAAACTCGACAGATTCTATGGTCAATATACTACCGAAATTAAGCAAAACTTGGAACGTGGAACTGCTGTTTAATTGTTTATTTGTAAATATATGGCATTTATTTATGTGAACATGTCTTAGATTATAAAATTTGGATTATATACACTTCATTCTGACATGAAGGGCGTATCAAAGGAGATCTTCTTCATCGTATTTTGATCCAATAAAGTTTATTCAAATTTGATCTTCATGGAGCACACAATTCTCTTACCATTCTTGTCGGATAATTTTGATGATAATTGTTGCAGATTTAGTGGCTCCGTCCAAAAGGCCTTCATTTGAACTGAACTTTAGGATAGTATTTTAAACGTATTTAAAATTTACAAATCAAAGGAAAAATAGAAGAGACGATATTACTATAATTAGAATTATTGTGATAATTAATAAAAATATAGCTCTGCGAACAGCGGTCCTTTTTCGTATAACCGCATAACCATCCATACTATTCTGGCGCTGATAAGGGTCCATTGTTAACGCTTTTAAAACATCCAGAAAATCAACTCAACCTTCAATGATAACTATATCAATCTTACAAACAAATGGAATAATTTAGGTGGATAGCTCACATTTACATCTGATTAAAATTATCTATTGACATGATTGTTAATTAGCAAAAAATGAATCATATTTTCATTTAATTTATTTTATGGGCTGTTATTTAATAATTTTTTCATTGCAAAAAATCGCATCTAACAAGATAAAAATAAATGAAAAGTATTAGGAATAGTCAATGTTGAGTGGTATAAAATTACTGAAAAAATGAATTTACAATAGTTTGAATGATGATCTGAAGTTTTTCAAAATCGTGTGAATGCTGGATTATCTGAGGTGATTAGGGAACAATTAGAGAATTCATAGTACCAGCCACAGTAAAAGAATCACAAATTATTACGATGACGGGGGACAATTCCACATTTTTATAACCTTCGTCCAATCCATGACTGGGGGAATAATTTCTTACCAAGGAAATGATTTCAGAACAAGGTTGATGGAAATAAAATTCAAGTTGTAGCCAGAAAGGATCAATCAAAGGTAAATCGGTAAATAAATCATCTTGGAATCTCAAATTTGATGATAATTGTTGAAGAGGCATTGGCTCCGATCTAAAAAGACTTCCTTTGATAACTTTAGGATAGCATTTTAAGGTTTAAACAAATATGTAAATATAAGAAACATTATTGCTGCAATTATTATGAAAATAAATAAAGATATAACTGAGCGAATTAAAAACCTTCTTCGCATAATCGCATAATCTTCCGCACTAACGTTATACGTTATAACAGTGATCTGGCGTTGGTAAGGGTCCATTGTTAACACTTTTAAATCACACAAATAAATAAACTAAATTTTCAAAGGTTTCACTTTTATATGAACCTTACAACCCAATGAAATGATTCAGGAGGATATCTGACTGATATTCATTGTTAGCATCAGATTAAAATTTTCCATTGATGTGACGCTAATAAGCAGAGATGAATAATATTTTCATTTAATTTACTTTATTGACTGTTATTTAATGATTTTTCTGAGGTCTTTTGTCATTTGGTCTGAGGTTAAAATTTTAAAACAAAAGTTACATTGATTAGGACAGAAAATTTGATCATCATTGCACAAAAAGCAAGTACTGGCTAAAAAATCTTGTAAATAATGGATCATCTGAGGTGCTAAGGAAACAATTAGTTTAGGTGAAAATAGAAGAATCAGGGAATTCGTAGTACCAGCCACAGTAAAAGAACCACGATGTAAGATGGACACTGAGCTTTCATATTTTTATAACCTCTATCCAATCCATGACTGTTGGAATACTTTCTTACCAAGGAAATGATTTCAGAACAAGGTTGATGGAAATACAATTCAAGTAGTAGCCAGGGAAAATCGGTAAATAAATCATCTTGGAATGCCAGGTTTGATCTTCGTGGAGCTCACAGTTTTCTTACCATTTGTGTCGGATAATTTTGATGATAATTGTTGAAGATACATTGGCTCTGTCCAAAAAGACTTATTTTGAACTGAACCTTAGAACAGTATTTTAAACATATTTACTGTTGAAATTTGTGAGAATTTACAAAATGGAAAAATAAAAAACCCATTATTGCTGTAATTATTATGAAAATAGAAAAGGCTATAACTGTTTGGATTATAAACCTTCTTCGCATAATCGCATAATCTTCCGGATTAATGTTTAACGTTACAACATGAACCTGGCGTTGGTAAGGATCCATTGTTAACACTTTTAAAACACAAAAATAAATATTAACGACCACAATATTAATAACAACAATAATAATCAACTCTCAAAGGTTTCACTTTTATATGAATCTTATAAACCAATGAAATGATTCAGGAGGATATCTGATTGACATTCATTGTTAACGTCTGATTAAAATTATCTATTGTTGTGAATGTTAGCAAGAATGAATCATATTTCATTTAAAATTCATTTTAATGAATGTTATTCAATGATTTAAAAAATTTCATCTAACAAGATAAAATTATGAAAAGTATTAGGAACAATTAATGTCGTGAGGGATGGAAAAAAAGATTGTACAATAGTTCGAATGATGATTAAAGTGATTACAAGCACAAAAGGCAAGCAATGATTAAATTTAAAAATCTTTTAAATATTGGGCCATCTGAGGAAATTAGGAAACAATTAGGTGAAAACTGGACAGTTAGTGTACCAATCGGATCTTCAGGGAACTCACAGTTTTCTTGCCATTCGGGTTGGATAAATTGGTTGAATTGTTGAAGAGGCATTGGTTCCGTCCTTCCTTTGATAAAAGACTTACTTCGATAACTTAAGATAGTATTTTAAGGTCCAAACAAATATGTAAATAAAACAAACATTATTGCTGTAATTATTATGTAAATAGAAAAGGCTATAACTGTTTGGATTATAAACCTTTTCCGCATAATCTCATGATCATGCATACCAACGCTATACGGCATAATAATAACACTTTTCTTGTGTTGAGAAGAGTCCATTTTTACAGCTTCCATTGATACAACACAAATAAACTAAACTTTCAAAGGTTTCACTTTTATATGAGTCTTACAAACCTACGGAATAATTCAGGACATTCATTGTTGACATCTGATTAAAATTATTTATGGGTGTATTACTAATTAGCTAAAATGAATAATATTTTAACGATAAATATGTGAATCTTACAAACAAATAAAATAATTCTTCGTTGGTATCAATGATAATAGGCGAAAATGAATCATATTTTCATTTAATTTATTTTATTGACGTTATTGAATGATTTTTCATCTAAAAAATTACATCTAACAAGATAAAATTAGGAATAGGAATAGTTAATGTCGAAAGATGAATTTACAATGGTGCAATGATGATCTGAGGTTAAGTTCAAAATAAAACAAAAGTTACATTGATTAGGTCAGGAAAGTTTATCATCATTGCACAAAAAGCAAGTAATGATTAAATGTAAAAATCTTGCAAATATTTGATCATCTGAGGTGATTAGGAAACAATTAGGTGAAAACAAGACAGTTAGTGAATTTTTAGTACCAGGCGCAGTAAAGGAACCACCAATTATGACGATGTCGGGGAATCGCGATTGCGTCGGTTCTTTTTATTGGCAATGAAACAGAATGATAAAGATCCAATGATCAGGAAGATGGCAAAGACAATGGCATAGGCAATAAATGGCTGAGAGATGAGACGTAAAATATCCGATCCTGATGTTTTGTAATTAAACCAGCGAAGAATGTGTTCTCTCTGTTGAAAACCACAATCAGCTTTAATCAAGATCGCATTCTCTTGCTGAATAATCGGGTTATGTGTACATTGATAGGCGAGTGGAACAATCGATGACGAACCTGTTGATACAAAACAAAAACAAAAAGTTAGTTTGCACTGAAACAATCAATAAATCACACAAACATAAGTTTAAAATAAATTGTATTCGTTAATTTCACTTCAATTGCTTCTCATACTAATCAACCTTTTTTTCTCACAACAAACATTGCTATTCTCATAGCTATTAGAACACTTTTGAACCAAGCCACAATCACTGCAACGATATTGTTCAAGAACCTTCTCATATTCTTGTAACCTCCATTCAATTCATGATTGGGGGAATAGTTTTTCACCAAGGAAATGGTTTCAGAATAAAGTTGAAATACAATTCAAATAGTAGCCAGAAAGGATCAATCAATAGCAAAGGGTAAAATGGGAAAATAAATCATCTTTCAAGTGATGGTGTTAGAGATAATGGACAGTTTACTTGAGAAGAGAAGTCTCACAATTCTTGCTAAATTTATACCATTTAGTGTAAATTGAAAGTAAAATGGATAATGATGATGATTAGAGGAATAAAAAAAGCTGGCAATAAAGAGTTCACTTTTATTGTTCATCAATACTGATCCAGTGAGAATAGGGAAACAAAATAGACTCCAAAGGCCAACTCTCACGATTTGAAAATTTCCATCTCAATTTAATCTGATATGAAACTGATTGTGGCTTGTTAATATCATGGCTTCCTCTTTCTCTCTACAACTTGCATCTTCCATTTTTACCTGTTGTATAGTTATTATGAAATTCCCATCCAATCAGCACCTCATGCGTATACCTGATTGGGGAAATTGAGTGCAACCATTTTGTAATTACGGATAAATCCTTGTAGTGAAACGTTGTTCCCGCGGCGAGAGTTAATATTGAAAAAATAAGACCAAAAGCCAATGAAGCTGTTGATCGACGATCAAAAGACCAAGCCATTGAGAGAGCAATCATCCGGATCATGTGGAGATAGCCCAGCAATATAACCAAATAGAGAAGTAAATTATTTTGAAGACCGGCCATGGAGGAAACAGGAATTATAAACCCCATGAACACTAGAGTTGCTTTTGGAAGTGTGTAAAGTATCTTGGAAAAGACGTACAGCGGTTTGGTGTATAATTGCATCTTAACTTCATTCAGAACATAATTTTTCTCCTTGTGAGCTGAAATATTGGAAGGAATGAAAAAAAAAGATTAGTAAGAAAGAGATTTACAATTTCTATTGATTTGATCTAAAACATTTATTCATTGTTCTGCTTGCTGATCAACACTTTCAATTTACTCGGTATGTTGATTGATTCACGACTCTTTAGGACCAATCAATGTAATTGCACTTTGATTCAATTTGTGATGGAATCATTTTTCAGCGCAAACAAGACAATAAATGAAAATTAAAGATCAATCAATAAAACCTAAATCTTGTGTTTACCATCATGAATCTCAACAAGAAACAATGGAATTGGCATAATTGTTAAAATGGTATGATACAGTCCAATACGATCCCATAGATGTTCCTGTTCACGACCAATCCTGATATGCCAATAAATGATTCCCGTGCAAATGGATAAACTAATTGCCAACAGTAAATTACGGAACAAGTGGATAACGTTGTAGGGAAAAGTGAATATTAAGGCTCGTCTGTAATAAGAGGACAAAATGGATTAGATATAATTTCAAATTGGACCAATAGTCACAATAGTTTCAATCAAGTTGCCAAAAAGCATACAACAAAAGTACCAAGCATTAGTGAAAGTGCAATTTTTCCAACCTTTACCAGTGAATCGGTGATAATGAACTATCACTATTGATCTTCAATACAATAGATGGTCAAATTGACATTTTATAAAACCATGAAGATGACCCTAAATATTGTACTTTTCTCAACTATTTGAGAAACAATTTTCATTCCCATTATCATGTTAAGGGTTTGCGTGATCAATGTAAACATGAAATCTTGTTAAATCGTTAGAAATTTCCAATCAAAATCTTCTCTTCTTTTCAGCTAATACTTTTAAAGACTACTATAGTAACTCAACATTTGAAATGTATTTACCTCGAGTATTAGTGAACCCACGTTACACTTAAATTTGATTTTCTGAAAATTTTTAAATATTTGCTGATAATAGTTCAAAAATAGATTCAATTATCACTTTTGAATGAAAACCTCGGAAACTTCAATGACTTCTTTGATTGTTAATAATAATATTCAAATACCATGATGCAGTCTGAAGACAGCTTTTGTTGTGAATGAAAATCAAACGAAAATCTTGATTAAGAGTTAGATCTAAAGCTATTAATAGGCAGCATTTAAATCAAGTTAATTTCTTGCATTGGATTAGGTTATTGTCAATTGTTTACTGACTAGCAATCCAAGCTGTTACTGAAGCAATAGCAGTTAGTTGATGAAAGCAAATCAAAAGTATTGATTGACTACTATTAATCAACATTGCAATCATTGATCCATTGTAAGATTTCAATTGTTGTCAAAAATCAAAATTGAAATTGTTTAAAATTTTGGATGAAAGTGTTGACAAATCAATCTAATACGATTAGCTGGATTTTACACTCGACATTTCATCAGAAACGTTGTTTATACACGGTGTTTGTACTAAATATAGACAACCGATCGTATAAAAGGACACACATTTGATCAAATATTATTATGATATTTTTTGTGCTTCTTTTGATAACAATGAAGGTCAATAATTTTGGAGGCTATAATTTGATTTATCACAATTGAAATCAAGAAGCAGAAAATAACATTAACTCTGAATTATTGACACAATTATTTTTTTTGACAGCTTCACTGTTTTTTGAGCTTCACTTTTTTCTCACATTGATTTACTTGACTGACGACTAATTGTGGCTTGATAGCTTTCAATGCTTAAGTACACTGAAGGTGACAATGATGATGATGGAACCACCAGCAAGAGTGAAAAACATCAACAAGCTTGATAAATTGGCGTAAAAAAGGAGCAACAGGCAAACAGCATCAAATAGGAATAATTGAATAGTTTTATTTTGATTTAAAATTTTTGGTTTTTCGGTAAAACTGGTTAAACCTAAAAATTAAAGTTAATTTGATTAAACCGCTATTTTTGAGTACGGTCAAGTATTAGCCAATGAGAGAGCTGGAAAAGATTCAACATTTACAGCAGTTTTAATGCAATCTTTTTAAGTTGAATAGACAATTTAATAATAACTGTGATTTCAACAATAGATTATTTTATTGGCCTGAGCGGTGAAAAGACGCAAGATTTCAATATGAGAGTGGCTTTTCGTGTTTCTCAAAGATCCTTTTTTTCAAACTCTGTTCATAATCTCCAATATCTATCTTCTTAAACCAACGAATGTTTACTCTTCCCCACAAAATATCAACTGAAATCTTCGAAACATGTTCATATACCGGCTTCCGCCTGACCTAGTAATTGGATTGACCGGCAACAGTAAGAAATCAAATTAATAATCTATCGAGTAACCTGAATTTATGGTTTACTTGAAAAGCAATGGTAACATTATTTCCTATTGTGAACATCCAAAGTCTTTCACTCATAAAGTTATGTTTCTTTTTTTGTGTCTGACAATGTGAGTTATTATTATTTAAAATAGTATTAATCAAATTTACTGGATTGATTTGGTTCAACATGGGCTTTTCCCAATCATATTCTATATTTATAAAATGACTGTAATTGTCCAAGTGAATCAGTGTTTAAAACTATTACAATTAAACCATAATAAAGTAGGGACACCCAAAGAAAAATGGGAAAAAGTGAAAAGGTTTTTCTGTTTGGCTGATTGGTACAATCAATTAGGACGGTGGCTCAGCAGTTTCCCAGTCATCGCTAGTAATATCATAATTATACTTGCCTCATGATAATGCTAATGATTGAATAATACAGAGTACACAAGTTGATCATTTCCGTGTCCCTCTGCAAAAATCAGACGATAAATGGTGTATATTTAAAAACAATGCGTCCCATCAACTTAGACATCATTGTAAGTGAAGACCGATCATCATCATTATAAAGTTGTCTAGCAAAGTTTAAGTATTGTCACATAAGCTTGAGAAATGGCCCATTCAATAGTAATTAATTGTTCCCTTTTAATTTGTTTCCTATCTTCTCTAATTGTCAATGTTAACAGTCGAGCATTTGATCCAGAACGGAGTTGCCATCAACGTGGTTGCCAGGAATCATCTTTAAATGAATGTTCCCGTCGGGGTCACTCTTGGGCTGCATTTACTTCCCATGGAACTCAAACATGTTTATGTTGTTCTGATGAAAAAGATGCTCTTGAAGCTGCAGGTAAATTTTTTTATGAAACAACAATAAATTCCTGTAACCCTTTAATTATCCAACATTTTCTTGCTTTTACAGGAGTCAATCAAGATAATGAGATTGGATTTTTCTTTGGAAACGTACTCAGAGTCTGTGAATCTCTGCACATCGAGGAAGGACATTGTCGCAGCAGAGAGTCAAGAGATTGTAATTTCATTCCTGCCTTCAGAGGAAACAATTATTTAGGATGTTTCTATTGTCGACGTAAGGATATTGAGTGTTCAATTATGAGCTTAAAAATGATCTCAATGTTAAAGTGTTTAAATTAATACTAATTTTCGGCTTTCATTTCTATCCAACAGCTCGATGTGATCATGAATCTGATTGTCAAGATTTGGGTAGAACTTGTGATTTGAGTAAAAATAGTCAACCAGTTCGCTCCTGTACTGGAACTGGTTCTGGTTATATTCCTGGTTTTGATGATCCACGAGAATATGAGACAGCAATTAAGAAAAATTATCTTCTCAATTTGAAGAATCGAACCAAGCCAATCGAAGCAACTTCAACTACAACAACTTCAACAACAACCATGTTACCAATACCTCTTAACCCCTCATCTTTAAGCCAATCAACTAAAAATCATCCACAAAAACCATGTAATGGTTATCCTGGTAAACCGGGAGGATTATGTTCACAAACAGTTGAAAATCAACAACAATCTAACGATGGATTTCAAATTCCCCAAACATCCTCACTCTCATCAGATAGCAGTTCATTCAAGAAACCATTTTCAAACAAAAAATGGCCTCAACAACAAGAACCAGTAAAAAGTGTTCCAACCAATAACAATGTTAACAAGATTAATAATAATGTTGATAAATTTAGCCAGACACCATCAAAAGTGAAACCCGCTCAGAAGCCTTTTCCACCATTCCATCCTGGTAAAGGAACACCTTCTTGGTCATCGATAACCCAACAACAGCAACAACAGAATCCCGTAATGTCCGATCAACCTCAAGATTCTGTTGGTGAACCAGTCCATGTTAGTGATGAAGAAAGCTGGGGTTCACCTCACTCAATGCCCTCTCATTCAGACGATGGATTTGAATTGGGTCGATCACCTCATCCTCATAGGAATCCAGTTATTCACCCAGTTTCCGGTTCACATTCAGCAAGAACAACAACGAGTGAACCAATACAATTAGAAAGAGGTTTCAAGCCAGCTGATAGTAATGAGACTGTCTTTGTTGTTAAAAATAATCATCGCCAGGTTCATCATGGTTAACATAACAAACTCAAGTCAATAATTTTGCTGCCTTGATAAACATATTTATACCACTTGACAATTCACAATCAATTGATGAAAATAACGAAAAGCAAGTTTTAATTTATTTCAATCTCAATCTGTAAACCTTAACCCAAACCAGTATTAAATCAATATTGTGAAAACATAAATTAGACTCAAGTTTATTTGATTCGCCATTTGATGAAAACTCAACAGTTTCAAGACAACATCAGACCAAAACTACTGAAATATATTAAACAAATAATCCTGTTTTCATCATTACCATTTGAACTTCCAGAGAAACCCTTAAAAACATTTACATAACTGTAACAATGAAATTAATTAAACCGTGATTCAGTTGATCATGGTTATCATACTAAATGAATGAAATACATGATATATTACTAACAAGGAACCATAAAACATCTCAAGTTAAACATTGAGCCATTTGTTATTTATATTTTCAGTTAATTGTATTTTAAACCAACAAGGCTTTCTTGAAAACTAATTTTCGTGATTATAATTGTAAAAGAAGAGATTCTAATTTGGTTAATCAAAGCACAGGAAACTTAAATAATCATGTTCATCTTTAAATTGTTAATTTGCTAATTACACCAACTTGACTTGAATGCCAAACCGTATACAGTTTAAAGTTTAAAAGTGAATAGTTGAAGCTAAATCCAAACTAAATCTGGTTAAAATGTTGTAAAAGCAGATTGTAACGTTGATTAAATGAGTTAATTGTATAAAGTTAAATGAAATGATTGAAACCATGTTAAAGGAATGAAATAGAAATGTTAAAACTGGAAAATCTCATGAAAAAAATGCATTTCATTGTAAACATTGGTTAAGAAATGGTTCAATATTTTACAAACCAATCCATTAGGTAGGTGAGGCAAGGTTATCATATTTTAATTAATGGCTCATTGAATAATCTTATTACAATTTACCTTATTTAGCTCAAGATTTTACATTTTTTTTCACTCTTCTTAACATCCTACGATAAAATAATGATAACATGACAATTGACTCAAAATGAGATGTTAAGATGAATTGAATTAGTTGAATGAATGCAATTAAAGAGATAAACCAATTGACTGAAATTACCTTGAAATGATGATGAATGTTAATGATGAAAGGTGAATAAAGTGGAAAATAAGTGCGATTTTTTAGCGAAATCAACCGATTCTAATTTATCTTTTTTCTTCAGTGTTCATTCCGTGATTCAATTCACTTTCACAGTAACTTGGATATGAGTTACATTTTCAAATCGATATCAGTCAAATTTAATCACTTTTACATTGTCATCATCATTACCATCTTCTTAATTGTGGTTACACCAGAAAGCACAAATATCAATCTGTAATATGAACAAAGCTATGGTTTACTAGACATCAACAAAAGTTAAGGCAAATTGCGAGTTAAGTGAAAAGTCGTTTACCATGGTTGGTTTGTTTCATCTAGGTATTGATGGACTGAAAAAAGTGCACCAAAAATATCCATAGACATGAAAGGTTCAACCAATTGGCAAATCTTGCAGCAAATGAAGACTTTTCATAATAAAAAACCACTTTTCAGTTGAAACGAGAAAAGCTTTAAACACTTTTTTATTTCGTTTTTTGAGCTTCAACAAACTCTTCAAAAAAGGGAAAATTGGACAAAAATGCCAAAAAATCGAACCTTCAAATTTCCAGATTGTCAACAATACACTGAACTAGAATTTTCCTGGCAACAATTTAATTTCTCTTCTCTTCTATCCAACCTTTATCATTGGGATTGCTTTATTTTTACCTTTGCTATTGTAACCTTTGATATGGTAAAGTTGAATTGTTTAGTTCAATTTGAATGGGAAAAATTGCAGACAAAATGAAATGCTGAAAACAATGCTATTCACATATTCAATTGACTTTCAAAGGTATTGAAACAGGTTGATTTGAAGGTGTTTAAAAATTATTGGTCAACTCACAATGAATGGATAATTTAAAGTTTAAGTTATAAAACACTTGCTCTGAAAGTGGTTTTTGATTGAAACAATGAAACAGATACAGATGTAATTTGATTAAAGGTTAATTTGATGAGAAAAGGTTTCATTGGAAAGATAATTTGACCAAAATTTTGATTTCGCTTAACATTTCAACATATTTGAAACATTAATCTCGGTAAAGTTAAATTATCTGTCATGTTAAACAAAGAAAACATGAAATGAAGATGAAAAGGTTTGAAAGTTAAATTTCTTGTTGACTTTTGGCTTTTTTTTGTAGCTTCATTCATTTGAGGTGAAAAAACGGCAACTTGAAGGTTGACCTGGATAAAGTATTATCGAGTGAACAACTCATCTATTTCATGTACAATATTCAACATGATTATTATCAATGAGAGTTGATTCAATGAAACAATCACGATCTTTGATGAAACAAATTTCAAGCTGAAAAAAAGTGAATCATTGTACAATTATTGCTGATATTGCTGTTAACCTTTCACTTTCATCGGGTTGATTGCTCATGTTGTAACTTGAAATTTACTTCAATCAACAAGACTAAACACAATAAACTGACAACTACAATTAATCATGAAATTGATTCAGAAAAGGATGATTATTAATTTACTTCAACAATGGAAACTTGATGGTTCTCTGGTGTTTTTTGGGTTTCTTTTGGCTGGTTTGTACCAACTCTTGATTTGTCACTTTTGTTGAACAGAAAACATTATTATCATTGTTATTGTGGTTAATAATTATTTTTAATGAATTGGAAGGGAGTAAAAGTAAATAACGATAATCTATTATGAATTAAATTGTCTTTTTTTCATCAAATAACAAACCACACCAAAGTGTCATCATACTTTGGTTTCATTAGACTGACAATGTTGTCCATTCAACACCCAGGAAATTCAAATTTTGTTTGTTTAGTTTCAATTATTGAGAACAATTAACTCTGTTTTATCAATTGTTACTTTCATTTAGGTTTTAACATTTTTTATCAATGTAAGCCAAAAGTGTCAATCAAAGATGAGACCAATTTTTGAGATATTTGCATTTTCGGTAAACTGGTTGAATTTGATTAACCGAGGGTTTTGAATTGCCCGGTTTTATTGGTTATTTCTATGGAAACTATTTTGCCTCTCTTTTCACAATAAATTGTGAAGTTATTATTATAATATATTGTTATTAATATAATAACTTCAAGTTAACTGCTTTCGTATTTTGTCAAAAAGTCAAATCATTAGATTGATTTAATTCTTGAAATCTATTCTAAAGGCTTCAATTGGCATGCATTTTTGGTTGATAGCAAAGTTAAAGTTAAAATTATATTGTTTTAGTTGATAATGGTGAGTATGCTACGAAAAATACTTTGAATGCTTTATAGCAATTGATTGAATGAATTAATGAGTTATTTATATTATTTTTACTTACATCCACAGAGCTAGAAACATGATGGTCATATGGGCACGTCTTACTGGTGGTGGGGCAACCGATGGTGGACCTGGCAATGAAACCGCATTGGAACATCGATTGGAATAAAGGTCAACCAAATTTTCTATTCGTTGACTTGACTCTAACATGGCCTCTGAACTTAGATTATCTAGGGTTACCAGGTCAAGATAATAGTCACTTGGATTTTTGTAGGTAGGACATGGGAAGTCAATGTAAGAAAAGTAGGTAAGAAGATCTTTGCGTTTACCAAAGTAAAGGATTCGACCAGTTGAAACAAGTGCAATTTGTGATAACATTGTAAATATTTCATAAGTTGCAGGTTGAATGGTGAGGATAACACATCGACCCGAGATCAGAGCCCATTGGCGAAGGTATTCAATGAGAAAGAAAGAGTCGAAAATGTCCATCCCTTTGGTTGGTTGATCAAGTAAAAGGAGATCCGTGTCTAAAAGGAGTGCTTGCCCTATCAACAGGCGACGTTTCTCAGCCTCGGTTAAATCGGCCACTGAAGTATGACGAACTTCACTCAGACCAAGTTCCTCGAGAACTGCATTTGTACGCTTTTTAGTGTCAAAGGTATTCTTTTTGGCAGGACCTTGAACAAGAGAAGAGAAGAGCAGAGTTTGCCGGGCCGACATGTTCGGACACAGATCAGTATCTTGGCCCACGTACGAGCTGACTTGTGATAATTTGGCGGGAGTCATGAAGATGCCATTCAATGTTATCTCGGATTTGACGGTTCCTCTACTTTTATTGTAACGATCAGATAAAATTTCTAGAATTGAAGTTCCTTCGTATTCTGGGTGGAAAGAAAGAAAATGAAAACAGTCAGAACAATCAACCTGCAAAAAGGTTTTCAGTCAATTCCAAACAAGCAACCGTGCAAAATGAAAATTTATTCAAAAATTCACTATACCAGTCAACTTTCAACTCTATTATTATTGCTTCAAGTTGATCAACATTCCAAATCAAATTGAAATGTTATACTTCAACTGATAATCTAATCATGAAGATAATTATGATAATAACCATGTTTGGAGAGGTTCAAGGAAAAGATGGTGAATTGCAATGTTCAACTTTAAAATTTAATCTCATGGAACTTTTCATTTCATTTCAAGAAAAACATCTCTATTTTTCCTTCCTTATGAGAGCATTGAATCTTCTCATTCAGTGGCAAATATTATTTCTCATGAGAAACAAGGACCGTTTCAAGAGCACCGGATTGTTAATGAAATAAATATTACAAAGTGGAGTTGCAAAAAGGTTAAACTTGACTTGATTAGGGTGAGAGTTAAAGTTAACAAGGAAACAATTTGACATCTAACACATCTTTATTATATACACTTTTACTGAACATAAATTATGTGATGCTACCATGATGGGAATATTTAATAGTCGCATAGATTATGATGATGATGCCTTTGATTGAGTGTAAACTCAATTAAGTTAGAGCGTTGAATGCGAAAGGAAAAGGTTTCTTTCATGATTATCCAAATATTATGTCTAAAAAGGTATTCAGGGTGAGGTTTTAACTCTTTAACTCTTAATATTAAACTGTAAAACACCTAACAAGATTTACCATGACTCAATCGAGAGTTGTCACCTACAACAATTTAATCATACAATCATAATTATTTTGATAATCATCATAACCATCATTAACTCAACATGTTTCAAGTTCAAAATGATTTCCTACTTTTTTCTTGCTAATATTTACCTTTTTTCATGATTAAATCAACAAATAATTATCTTTTAGTTGGACAGTTCAACTTTTAATCTTAACCAGTTTGATAGTGATTTACCAAAATTAATTCATTTCTTGAACACGCAATAAACTTATTAATAAAGAGTAAAATTTTCATCAAATTGAATGGTGAAGCTTATAAGTTAACAAAAATGCTATTTTTAGGTGAAACAATCAACTTTACAGTAATCATTTGGCTAATCATTTTACCATCAATCAATGAGTCAAATTAACCAGATAAAGATGAAAGATTTAAATTGAACCCTTAAAAATGTCATCACAATCAAGTTAATAAACTATAGTCTTGATTGACTTTACTTATAAAACGCATCAACTAATCAAATCATATGCATGTAAATGGTGGAGTTGATTTATTTTGGTTAAACCATTAAAAATTACAGTTTACAGATTTTCAATTGTAAATTGATTGATAACCATTAAAACGGCACTGATTAGAAACAATCAATGAAACTGAAAAGCGTAACAAAATGAAGCTCAAAACTAAAATTCACGATTTTTACATTTTAAATATTAAGACAAATTATGAAGATAATATTTGAAATGATTTGGGTTCCAAAACAGCAAAAAAATAGATCAAGAAAAAGATTTGAAAATCATTAAAATTTCAACTATAAATTAAACATTAATTGATTACAATTAAAAGGATAATAAAGTCTACATTTTGTAACATTAAGATTGTAAAATTCAAAACAAATTAACAACAGATAGAAGCGCAAAATTCAAAGGCAACATTTTTAACACATAACTTTCACCTTTAGGGATGGAATTGATTATAATAATTATCATTGAAACACTTAAAGATATAATAATAATAGTCCAAGATTTAGCTAATTTTTGATGCAAAAAAAGGTTAAAGACAAAAATAAAGTAGCAAAAATTATAATAATGATGATAATTGTAACAAAGTGTTATGTTATGTATTAAATTGTACTTTAAATATAGTGTATTAAAATGTCTATAAAATATGATTAAGCTGTTAAATTTTTCTGAAAATTATACAATTTGTCAAAACAATGGCTTTCAGTGTAAATTTCAAGGCAAAAATCACTGATGAACATCATGGAAGAACAAATGTTTTCCATTCATCTACATGTACTTAAACTATCCATAAAATCAGTAATTGAGTCAAAATTTTCTTCACGGGAAACCTTATTGAATACAAACTGCTATTTCGACTGAAGATTCAATCTTGACTATTTTGAAGATTTTTGTTTTTCCAAAATTGATGAGAGATGAAAGTAAATTATTAAAGGATTTGAGTTTATGATTAGATTAATTTGAGACAATTTAAAGAGGGAATTGTAAATGTGTGTTAAAATTGCTCACCACTGGTTGCCATAATGGCAAGGACTTCACCGGCTTTAACCTCAAACGAAATGTTGTCCAAGATTCTTGATTTGGTTCTCTGGGCTCCACAAATGCGCCTTAAAGTGGACGTTTTGTCTAACTCATAATAGAGCCCACGAACAATTAGGTGAGGATTTTTGGGTGAGCTGGATGGTGCTGATAAACCATTGGATAAAGGTAATTCAGTATCAATCATGTCTTCACCATTGGAATGAATGTAACCATTGGTTTTACCCATTTTACCATTTAACCCATAACCATTGCCATTGGCCATTTGATCACGCGTATGGTAATTGTTATTGTTTTTGTTATTATGATTAGAGGATGGAAAGCGTAAATCAGTTTCACTGACTGCTTTACCATTGGCAGTCATGTAGGGTGGTGATGAGTGAATGAGTCCTGAATATTTATTGTTTGACGGTGAATTGGCAGATGATGATGATAACAGTAGATTGGCTTGACTTCGTTTACCTCGGTAAAGTTGATTAGAATGAAGGTGAGAATTTAAATGGGAAGATGAATGATTAGCGAGATGAGGATGATGGTGAGACTGGTGAACAGCAGAAGGTGAAATGATTGACTCCTCTAAATCACCTCGAAGAAGGTCAGGATCACTTTTCCAGGTTCGACCAACATTTTTTCTACCCTGTTGACTGGAGACGTGTTTAGAAGATGAAATGGAAGGTGCATGTACTGGTTGACCTGTTCCAGAGCGTCCATTGTCAATCTCATCTTCCTCTTCATCATCGTCAACATCAGTCATGGAAGCTGAATCAGAAGGTAAATGATGACCATAACCAGGTTTACCCAAATGGGAACCATGTTTACCCTGGTATTTATGCTGTTGCGAGGCAAGTTTAGACCTTTCAATGTGACCACCACCAATGATGCTCGATCCACCAGCACCAACCATTAAACCTGACCGACGATCCTCATCTCGAACACCCAACTCGGATTGAGACACTTTGACCCGAGGAAGGCCATACCGAAGGTAAGTGGCTGGATCATGATTACGAAGCCTTGGACCGTACTTGGGATGATTGAGTATATTTTTAACGGTCGTCTCTTTCAACTGGAAATTGCCAAACGGCCTCTCACCGTTGACACTTTTGTTTATTCCAATGGCTGATTCAGACAGATCGGCATTCAAGTTTTGTCGATAAATGGACCAAGCATGAAGATCCTCTGTATTGTCATAGCCACGATTACCGTAACCACCACCAGGCCATTGGCTCATAACCGATGGACTATTCATTGGACTGTCTTTGTTATTGTTGTTCCCATTAGGAGCAACATATTTACGCGATTCACGATCGTCCCACATTGACACTGATCAACAGTTGCAAGTTTTAAAAGCAAAGATGAGTTAATTGGCAAATCCTATTTTGTAAACTTTGGTCAGTCAATTTGTTGCTCTCTTGTCTCAAATGTCCATTTGGCATAAAATCATCAAATTGTCATCAGGAAAAAAAGTCACCTTTAAATGAACAAGAAAAAATAGAGATAAATATAACGATACATAAAGTGTTTGATGAGTCGAGTTTAGCGTTTTTCTGCTCGTGTTTTTAACTTGTCTTTTCACACCAAATTTGTTGTTAACAGTTAACACATTGTTGCGTGTGTTTCAAATTTAACATTATTTGGACAAAAAAGCGTCTCAAAATTGAAAAATGTTGAAAGGAGTAAAAATTGAAAGATAAAAATGTTTTGATGAAAAGTGGTGAAAACAAGTTTACTGTGAAATTGAACTAAAACTCACATGGTTAAGGTGAAAGTGTTACAGATTGTTGATTGTTGTAAATAGATTGATTGTTTCAAATCAAGATGAACAATTAAAATTATTATTAGGGCGAAAAGGGAGAGAAATGCGGAACACAAGTTATCGACAAGAGTTAACATCAACATTGGCAAATTGTAAATGCGAGATTGTTTAATCAGTATTGGACTGTTGATTAACTTCAATCACAAAAAGATTCAAAAATAAGGGTTGAAATTGTGGTCAAAAGCGTAAAGTTAATAACTATCATTTGAAAGGCAAAAGGCAATACAAGTGATCAAGTAATAAACATATCATCATCACTTTTCCCCTCATCGGGTTGAGAGGAAAAAAAGTGTTGACCATCGATTGACCTGTTTTCCTTGCTACCTAAATGTTAATCCTATTCAACCTCACCTATTTTGGATTATTCATGACCAACATTAGGCTTAATGATTGATTCATCTTCAATTCAATTATTCACTTGACTGTGATTTTAGCACCCAATTAGTGTTAAAAATAGGATAAAGTTGACAATATAAGGTTTGGCTGTGTGTGTGATTAGGATTAAAATAGTTTCAGTACAATTGATCAAATCCATGATTAAGATGGAGTCAGGAAATTACGTTTTGCACTAATCTAACCAAGTAAGTCAAGTATGGATTTACATTTTTGTTTGAACCCTATTATTGAATCAACTTGCAGCCACTAATTCAATTTGAGTCAATAATTAGATGCGAATCAATCATTTGATAAGTGCAACAATTATGACTCAATATTGATCAAATTTCAGGGTTGATCATCAAGGTGCCAATCAATGGATGGAAAGTAAAAAGATGTTTATTGATGAGGAAAAGCGCATAAAACACTTTGACTTTGTTTTCATCAAATTAAATGTTGACTGTTATTATCGAGTCAAATTGAATTGTTGCAATTGGTATTTTCATTTGAAATTAAACTTTGTCTTCTCTCAACAAGTGATAATTTTGGTTACGTGAAAGTGAGATGGAAATGATTATGATTAAGATAATCATGATGCTGATGATAATAGTGAGGCCAAGAAATCAATTGTTCATTTCAGGATGTTCCCACAAATCAACCTGAATAAGTCAAATCAGTAATAAGCTCATCTAGCCAAGCCTTTGTTTTTCATCGTTTTAAAGGGGTTTTTATATTTACTGTGAAATATCAACAGCAAAAAATTGGTGGACATTTAACGTTAATGATGGGCCAACATTTGGGCAAGTCAATGATTTTGCAGATTAATTGACCAATTTAGTTTCAACTGTTTATCAGGTAAACAGATAGAAGCGCATAATTTTAACTGGAAATAAAACTGATCACAAATGTTGAAGTTGAATGGATACTTTGATAGACTGACAGTCAACTTATGATCAACCTTTACAACTTTGCATTAATATTCATAAATAAATTGAAAACTTGAAAAATCCATTTAAATGCTTTCAGTTAATGATCAAGTTTGATTGAGCAAGTTGACCAAGTAATCATTGGATTATTTTCAATCATCAAAATCCAAAACAAGAAATCGATAGAAAGTGAATTTTATTCCAAGTTTCATTGTAGATCAACACCTAAACATTTGAAACCAAAAACAGAGTTCAAAGCAAAAGCTCTTATTTGATATTATTGTCTAAGAATACTGATGAATATTGATCAATGCTGAAATGATTTCCATTGAATCTGAATAAATCTTCGCCATTCTTCAAATCAGGATAAAGTTGAATTTAAAGCTCGCTTTTTACTCAAATCTTAATCATTTTTTGGTTATGAATGTTTGAACAGCAAATTGAAAATATTGGTAAAATTTTTGGATTTGTTTTCACTTCAATCACACTTTGACATTTGAGAAAATTTCAGTAAATTCAGAAAAAAGGGTTTTAATGTACAATATTTGGTAAGCTTAATGATGAGCAAGCTTAGTGATTGATTACATTGTATTACTGTGCAAATCGTTTGGAAAATGAGAAGCCAAGAGAACGCAATTAGGATTAAAAGATGATGAATTAACTAATTACAATTGGGTTGGTTTATGGGAAAAACTGGCCAAATGAGAAACAAAGTTGGCTAGAAAGTTTAAATTGCAAGATAAATATCATTTCAAGTAAATTAATCACGATTCCTTATTAATGCCCATCATTTAATTTAAAGCAAATCACAAATTGCAATCAAAATTACAGTTTGTTGTTGCTCCATCATTTACAGATCATCTGAATCCTCATAAAATTTAAATGAAAACGACAACATGTTTGATAAAAGGTTAATTGAAATGAACTTTTCAACATCAACCTTTCAATTCATCGACACAAGGTGATCATCATTGATGATCACTTCAATAATCAATTGTGGTTAAATAGTGGATCACCTTTTTGTGTTTACACTTGCGGTTGAAAATTGGGAAAATTATTCAACTTAAAAGTGTATCTTTTAACCTGTGAATAAGGTCAACTGTTGAGTAGGCATTGATAGTTGATCTGCTTTTGTTGTTTCAACCTTTTCTCAATTTGTTTGTTGTGCACAATCAAAATCTTAATCATTATTAATGATAATTGTTTGATTGATATAATATTATGGTTTAACTTCCGCAAGAAATGAAGACGATAAAAGGTAAATTTTAAAGGAAAAATAATTGTGATGAAAATAATGGTGAAAAGAAAAGGTAAACATCGTGAGAAACTTGAATCATTGAGATTATAATTCTGATTCACAATTATCTTGATTCGCCTAAATTATATACACATTTATATCATGTGTTTCCATTTGGGTGTTTAAATTGAATCAACATCACAATCATGATAGGTTTAATGAAACAATCAGAGCAATTAAGAAACAAATAGAAACAAATAATGAAATAATTTGATTACAAGTTAGCAATTATCAACACTTTAAGATGATTAACATCAATAGCAATTGTAAACCATTGATCACTGGTTTCATTGTTAACATGCATTCAACTTCATCTGATCAAAAGGCAAAATTGAACTTGAAATTCAAGGATTGATTCGAAGTAAACTATTCTGATGTTGGTTCAAAAGCTATGAAGATAAGTTCAGAGTTAAGTATCTTGCAGAGATGAATAAAATGGAAAATGGAAATTTTTGTTTTACAGAAATTAAAACAGTTTTGATGACTGTGATGATGACCATGATTGAGTCAACTGGTTATTTGAATGACAATGAATTTACAGATAATTCAGATTGCGTGAGCGTTCCTTTGATTCACATCTTATTTGCAAACTAAACCAGATTAGTTCAATATCTTGTTTCTTTACCAATATTTAAGATTGAATTAAGATTTAGAATTGTTCATTTTTGCTACTAAATAAGGTTTGATTAGGTGCTGAGATAAAACTGTGTCAAGGTTTTTCACCATGAAAAAAGAGTTTGGAATGTTTCTTTTTTGTCTTCTTCTTTTGGTGAAACTGAATGAGACGCGAATTTCAGGCTAAAAGTGAACATTTTTTTCCTTCAACTAAAATTAGTTCTTTGTTGTCTTTACCAATCAAAAACATAATCATGAGTGAAACAACAAAAGGACTCGTTAAGAAAAGGTTGAAAACAAAAGTCGAAAAGTTTCATTGATCATTTTCCTGATTAATCTGGTTAAACGGCTAATCAAGCGAAAGATGATTCAGAATGAAAGAGAAGCAAAAACAAGAAAAAAAGTGAAATGAAGAGGCGCAAATCAGCATGGGAAAGATAATTGAATGAACCTTGATCTTCTTCATCAAATTGAAACAATTGGTGGTGAAAATCAAGATCGTTATTAATCAACATTTCAAGTGAACACACATTCATTTGGTTCAACGTGTTTTCATTGGTAAATGGACATTTCAGGGAAAAATAAGATTAACATTAACTTGGATTCAATGGATATTAAAACTTGAAGAATCTGAAAAGTTGGTCAAGCTTGGAATAAAAATCAAAATTTTTCATCGAATCACAATTTTTATTACATTTTCAGCTGGAAACATGAGTTTAGGTTGTAAAGGTTGATGCACTTGAATATATTTTTTGTGACAAAAGGCAAATGATTAGAATAGTTTTATAATCAAAATGATGACCGGAAAGAAGAGCATCATCATCATCATTTGTATTATTATCATTATTAAAGGTTTTAAAACATTAACCAGTTAAACAGAAACAGAAAGTTGATTTAATGGTTTCATTCACTTTTCATTTCAACTTTGATGGTTACCTTTGTTTGCTGCTTTTCATTATAATCATTTAATGATGATGATCTTGTTTTAAAGCAACAAAAAAGGTCTAATTGTAAAGCATGAGTTGATTACAATTAATTTATTAAAATTGCTTTAGGTTATCAGAGGTAATTAGTGTCAGTTTATTATTAAAATTTACTGCGACCAAGAAACATTCATAGAGAAGTGATATTTAAAGGTTTCAACAATAAATTTTGTTGTCAAAAGTCAAGACAATTTGAATCATTTGCAAAAAAATTGAATTAAATTGAATTTCAACATTTGCAAGTTTTGACAAAAATGATTTCTCTTCTTACAATTGATTATTTCATTGATTCATTTCTGACCAGTGAAAGTGAATATTAATAGTTATAATTGTAAGATAACATCAACTGATCCGTTCATTGGGATTGAAGCTCATTCAAACTGTTGTATTATAATAATATGAATATAAGTTGGCTGTTGATGAAAATGAAATGAAAACAATTTTTCTGTATCTCAATCA